TGATAAATTACGTACGGATAAAAGAGACTGCGAAAAAATTAAAAGAACTAAAGTTAGTTTAATTTAGCAGAGCGTTGCTACTGCGTGGAAGCGGCGTGCCTATAATAAAAACGACGTATGCACAACGTACAACGCGCAACGGTGTAGCTAGAAAATACTGCGCTACGTAGTGGTGGAGAAGGCGCTACGCGGAGGCGTAGTAGTGGCGTAGATGCTTAGTGAAGACGGCGTAGGCGCTACGCGAAGGCGTAGTAGTAGCGTAGAAGCTTAGTGAAGACGGCGTAGTCGCTACGCGAAGGCGTAGTAGTGGCGTAGACGTTTAGTGAAGACGGCGTAGTCGCTACGCGAAGGCGTAGTAGTGGCGTAGACGTTTAGTGAAGACGGCGTAGTCGCTACGCGAAGGCGTAGTAGTGGCGTAGACGTTTAGTGAAGACGGCATAGTCGCTACGCGCAACGTCGTATATGCACACATGCAGTAAATTGTTTTAAATAAAATCTAAAAACGCATTTGGGTAAAATGAGATAATTCTATCTCATTCTTTTGCAGCAAATACGTACGTACGCAGGTACGACGCAGTCCAATGGTTTGCTTTGGAAAAGCACAAAACGTTATTCTAGCAAAATACATAAATCAGATAACTCATGAAGTTTTATTCAGAATGCACATGAATGATTAAATTATCCTCATGTGTAGATTTTCGCGTAGATAGCTTTTTACGGAACATTTCCATCACTATGCAAATGCAAACTAAGCACGTACGGATTACAAGCCCACATAATATGCGAGAAACCAAGATAATGAGGCACATGAGGCACTGCGCAACTTTCTGTTTAACACAACATGTTTATAAAAAAATTAAAGACGTACAACATAGGTATACTTATTATGATCTACAAACAAGTTTATTTTCAAAAATTATATTATAAGAAGTTAAATGATATTTAACGATCCTAATCTGTTTATGGCCTAAAGAAATTTGTATTTCGTGTTATTTGTAATGGATTACGCTTGTTTAACCCTATAGGCTTACCTAACAGTATACATACGGTATGTATGTATACTGTTCATAGCAAACTCGGAAAATAAAAGACCCTATAGATATAGTAAAGGCACCAACGAACGACGTTTTTACGATGTCATGCGATTATTTTTTAATTACAGATGATCATTTTATTTAAAATGAAAAATAACATTTAATGCCTTATAATAAGGACTTATGTGATATGGATTTATGTTCTTATATACAATTTTGGCAAAATACGTAAAAGTCAAAAATTCACAAAAGCACTTGTCGCGTCGTTGACACTCAATCGACTCAAGCACTGACTTTTACTGAGGCATTAATTGGTAAAAATTAAATATCAAAACTTGTTAATTAAAGATTTGCTTATCCACTGAACCGAAAGGAGACGGATACGCTTTCATACAATTTTGGGCCTAGATGTAAAAAGATGAAACTGGTGTCATTTGATAGCTACTATATCAACAAACAATTACTGAAAATTTCGCAGACATTGGCAATCTGGGAGCCGAGATATAAAAGATTTAAGAAAAGTGAGGTTAAGTAACAATCTATATATATTAGCCAATTTTTGAAGTGCGATAGTGATTTTTACCCGATTGCCGGAGGCTGTAAATGGTTTTAATAGTATACGTGTGTATATTTGTATGTATTTATGTTTGTATATAAACAAATATCAAATATAAACCAGATGCATCCTTCGACTGCACAGCATAGCTTACTTCTTGTTTACCTACTTTCTCGTCTTTTTAGTTTACTTAGCAGGCAAGGCTTATGCAGTAAGGCTCGCCAAGGAGGAGGTCAGCCTCCTCCTTTCGCCTCCTCCTTTGGCCATTTTCGAATCACTGATAATATCATTTCGTCATCCAAAGCTCGACGTTCTAGAGTATTACAGCGACTAGTCGCTATGCCACAATTTACACAACGATCCATAATGTCGATCAATATCCTATCGGTAGGCTGTTCGTCGAATCCAAATATGCAAGTCCAAGTTTAACGTTTAAGCGAAGTTCTCCGTGTCCGGTATGGTAATGGTAGCAAGGCAAGGGTCGTAGAAGGAGGAAAATCAAAGGTCCGTGGGAAAGCCGGGCCGAGGAAAATACCAATAAGAAAAATGGGAGGAAAATAAAAACACTCAGAACGCACACGCATAGACGATACGAAACGAGTGTCGATCGGTGTCATGTCATACATGTCAGAGCTAGCACAGATTAAAAATACAATAATCGATTAGTAAAAACGAATCGATAAAATATTTTTAATTATGTTGATATTTAAACTCTAAACTCAATTTAAACTCTTAATACTGTGAGTTTAATTGATTTAATGATTTTAATTAAATAAATCATTCAGTGACATCATCTTCGTAAATATTATGAACTCTGTTCGTTACAGTTATTAATTACAATTGAATCGATAATCCGATTACGTCGTAACCCTAACTAAATTGTTGGATTTTTCATTTCCCAGATTGTAAAATAAATTGATTTTTCACTATGTAAAATAGAAAAAAATAACCATTTTTTAAGCCCTACTTCAACTTATTACGTGAGGGCCCAGAAGTCCCCGTCTCCTTTGGCATACATGTGTAAATCACATGACTATGCAACATTATGTTGACATAGAGCTTATCGGATGATTGAACTAAAAAGTTGATGAACCGATCAAACCTCATCAGGTTTAGGCTGATTTGAATGGACCTTACGAGTTGGTCTTTCAGTCGTAACCAGGTTGTAGTCTACTCTTAAGGGTTTACAGATAGCCTTAGGATTCCAGGTGGCTTATCTGGAATCCTAAGGCTATCTGTAAACCCTATCGATTATAAACTCGTAGGATTCTTCTTGACGAGTGCTTTGGTGCCAATGGTAAGTAGTAAGTAAGTAAGTATATTTATTTGTTTAAACATGGTATACATACATTGCATGCAAGATATTACAGTAAAAGGTAAATGGTAAAAGGTAACTTGATTTGGTGCCTATGTAGATGGGTGATACCCTGGATTAACACATAGGTGGCTCAATCAACATACCATACAGGCAAAGCCGCGAGCGAAAGCTAGTATCAAATAGATAAAGTAATGAATAACGCAAATTTAAAGATATTTCTTAGTAGGCTCTTATGATTTGTCTTGACACGAGTATTTTAGGGTTAGATGGCAATAAGGGTCATAACATAACAAAAGAAACAATCCAGTAATAAAAAGACCAAATAAAAAAAACGAAAAAACACGCTTTAAAATATCCAGACCTTAATCATATAATACTTCCTTCCTATCATAGTTCCATAGGTAGTTAGAAATATCTCAAAGCATTTATTTCAGAGGCTATAAGTATGTAATTTGAAATCACATCTTCCGTCAAAATGCCGCATACATTATCCACCAAAGCAGTATACTAACATATGTCATAATTACACAAGTCATTCATTAGATTGATGTACTTATAGAGATATAATCACGTGAGATGACGCGGCTGTTGACAGACAAGGAGATTACCCTACCTGCAGCATTTATCTGGCTGTTAGCCTATTATAACTAAACAATGCGCAGTAAAACTAACTAAATGTACGGAACCTTTTATAGACTTTATAGGCATGTTACAATGTTAAGGCAAGGTATACTTAATGTTACACGTTCTCGTTATAGGTTCTTAATGATTGTTTATTGTTTTATAAGTACGGATATGGGAAGTAGGAGGTGCGTTGAAAATTAATGGTGGAACTAGCAAGGTTTATAACCTACGTTATTAAAATTTAAATTCAAATGTATCACGTTCCATTTTTTTTTCTACAAGTACCTTAAAAGGGCATCGGAATAGGCAGTGTGCGTTCCTAAATTAACTATCAAGGTTTTTTTCCCAATACACGTTATTGTAATTGAACCTCTTCTTTATGATAGACGATATCCATACTTACTATTTTGCCAATATGTTTATTGAATTCATGTGTCACTTTTTAAGTAAGATTTAACCCAATTTTTTGTTTTTTTTTGTATCTCAAAAATAAACCCAGAAAGGAATTATCCAACCCGGCTCAGCCCTTCGAGAAATATGTATGATGTGAACCTACATATAAATACTTATAAATATATTTTTATTTACTGATGTGGGTCATTAAATTAATTATGTTACTAACCTTTAATCTGTTCATAAGTTCAGTACAGACCCATTATTTAACTAGTGTCTAGTTTAGATGTTGGTATGTACCTAAACTATCTAGACATTTGCATATAAAACGTTACTAACTAACACGTAATTTTGTAAAGTTGTCCTGGGTTTGCCGTTTCGTATAAAAACAATTGCAGTTTGTGCAAAAACAGAAATAAAATATATTTTTTTAAGTTTGCTCAATAACGCAATGGAATTTTAATTGTAAATAACCTTGACATAATGGCATCATATAATATATAGGAACGAAATATTTAGCTACTGATAAGGTAAGCCATGGAAATGACGATTTTCCATACGACACAATATACCATCATCAATTATCTTAAATTTCAAACAATGGAGATAACCGCGGAAAGTTACCGGCAGCGCCATCTATTGGCTTGGGTAGAAACTAGAACTACTGCCAACGTACAGAAGTAAGTAACATTTTGCTGGAAACTCGTTCGAAACTTATTTAAGGATTCGGTTGTTCACCGATGGATGGCGCTAATAATCCTTTTAAGGATTAACGAGGTTTGTACATAAACAACCTTGGTCATTGATTTCCTTACAATTTACTACCGTACCTTCTAGAGTGTGTGACCTAGTTACACTTATCAACATCACCGACGCACAATTTACGCTACCGTGCGTAGCGAAATCACGTAACCATAGCAATATGTATGAAAGTAGTATAGGTACCTAGACATCTAGACATAATCTTACTTTAAAATCTTATTTGAAAAAAGAATGACATATATTATTAGACTATCTAGTATCTGTTGGGAAATAAATTAAATTTGAAAAGGTTTATCAATATTTTTTGTCGCTTTAACGATGAATAACAACTTAACAGATGATGTAACTTACTGTAAAACAAATGATTACCTCAACCAACACAAAACAGTCATAATTAGCTATGATCTCACCTCAGGCAGGCAATGGTGTTGAAGGCAGTAATAGTCTTGACTGCCATCGTTATGACACCAGGTACCGTCAGGAAAGTATGGATCCTTGCCTGCATCGTTCAGCTCAACACGTGGTGCATAGAAACCACCTCCAGAAGCACGTCGACAGAATATCGCGCAACCCATCCACATCCGAGCTGAGGAAAAACAAAAGAAGATTGGAATTAGCAACAAGTGGAATTTGATGGAAAAAATCCGAATAAAAACGTCACAATGGAACCAACTGAATGATGTAAGAAAGAAACTGTTTATAAAACTAATTGGAAAAGAGTAACCATGGAGATTCTTGGTCGTTCTTCTCCATCAAACTACACCTTACAGTCCGTAACGAGCAAATAACGTCACAAACATAAGACGAATGACTGACAGACTAACATTTTTTTTCTTTATTCTTATTTTGGAATTCAGAAGTACCTGTAATGGTCTAATTAAAATATTTTGACTTTGACAATAATTATAAGATACAATTTTTGAATCATGCTTTTATCTGAAATATTTTTTAGAGGTGCACTAGCTATTTTCTGTCTTAAAAAAAATGTGTTAGCACCTATAGCTTTTACCAAGGTTTGGTAAAAGCTATAGGTGCTAGATGTGCCCATCGGGGTAGTATTAAGTACCTAAGTCAGAATCCTACATTTCGTAGTCTTTCCCAAACGCCCATTTTGGTTAACCTGGATATAAACAAATTGATCTGAATGCTTAAAAATTTGTAAAATGACTAAGCAAAATTTTATCAATTCAATAATATTTAGTTTATAATACTTACTGGGATCGTGCGGTGCCTGTAGCCCACCTCCACGAGGGTCCAGCTCTGGCAGAAGCGATGAATACTCCGCACATTTACGTGACGCCAACTCACTGGCTCCCACACGGGTCTTCTTACCGCAAACCTATTTAAAAATAATGGATTGTGATTATTAAACTGTATACTATATGATCTAAAACACCTTATTTCTCTTCAGTTTTATCAGAATACCAAAAAACAAAACACTTTTGCCTTCACTCTGGAATTGGCAGTGTTTTATAAAGAATCTGTTGTAGGATATCATGTGGAGTTATGTGTATACAATACCTAGGTACAGATACCTACTCGTTATTTGTAAGTTATACTTGAAATTTTAATAGTTATTTAACAAAAATCTTTCCTTTGCTTTGTTATTGAAACCGACTTATTAGAGTTTCTTTAAAGTGACAAGAAATAATCACTCTCTTAACCTGGCTGAAGAAGGAACGAGGGGGTTTTAGTCAGTAAGAGCAGCATTAGACACAAAGATTTCAACTTAGTGAATTTTAGTAATCTGTAATGTAACAATAAACTGGAATTTGGAATTACGTCAAAAAATATATAAAGATTTTATGATAAAGCAAGATAACCTTAGTATCATCGCACAGCACGACATCATAAGAAGCTCCGTGGCAGGCGTCACTTGACGGCTTCAGGCACACTCGTCGCCTCTCCCGAAAACCTCGACTTCTATCGGAACAGCCCGACTGACAGCTTGCTTCCCGCCATGGACTCCAGCCTCCTGATACAATACTGTCGGCGTCGCTGTCAGGTTTCGACGTCGTACTCGATGTTGGTAGAGCCTTCGACGGCACACACTCGCCCCCTTGACACCACTGAAGTATTCGTTAGTTATTTTACAGTATCAACTTCTTACAATTTATTTATAGTTCAAAGAGAAAACATGATTATCGAGTGGCCATTTCCAATAAATCATCAAATCGGACAAGACAGACTAATTTTGTGCTATCAACGTAGAAACTAAAGACGACCACCACGTTGGGCGCCATTTGATAATGGACATTGTTTTGGATATTTTTTATCAATTTGAATGTTAGCAGTCAACAAAGCCATTTCAACGTACCACGTTGGGCGCCATTATAAATTCTTTACGAATTAAAATAACCTTATAAGAAAAATACATAATGTATTTATTTATTTATTTAGGCTTACCAACTAAGACACATACAGACAATCTTAAAAATAAATAAAACAACAGTTAGTGTATGCTCTTAAATTAAAGGTAGGCTCAACATTATTTTTAGGTTGTTCAAGTAAAAGAGTTAAAAATTAAAATTAATTAAAAATAAAAGAAATTAAGAAATTGGGATAAAACATAAGAAAACTGTAAAAAATAAAAAATAAAAATTAGGTATCTGACCATATGCATTCCGCAAGGCGTTCCAGGCAGTGCAGGTCCAGCGTAGTAGTACCCAGCTCGGTGCGGCGTGCGGCAAGCAAGCTGGGAGCAGTGCTCGCCCGCCGGCCCGCTGGGGGACGGGGCAGCGTCAGCGTCACGTAACAGAATCTTGCACAAGGAAAAATTATCATTGATCAGCTCAGAACTGTATTTTAAATAAGGAATATAATTTAATCAATCTTTATTTACTTAGAATATAGGTAAATTAATTGGGATGGTAGGTTTAATGGTAGATTACATTATATATCATACTTTTCAATTCCTTGTAGTAGGTGTCTCGAATATCATAATATACATCTTTGTTTCAAACACGAGAATCCACCCTCAATCCCGTTGCATGGACTTTGATGCTTGATCTATCAGCTGTATAAATTAGAATTAAATTACGTCACTCACCTCACACTGCTTCTTAGCACTCCATATAGCGCCGGGAGCTCCTCCAAATCTCTCGTGCTGCAGCTCACTGGGCGCATCCAAATCATCGGAGCCATCAAACAAGCAAGTTGCCCATCTGAAGAAAGTCACAGTAATTAGGTTAATTATGCCTATGTAAATTCTACCCAAAAGCTATTGACGACCTTAAAATTAAGACACAGAAACGAAAATCGTGTACTGCATTTAAGTACTTACTATTAATCGACTACCAAATTTATCATTAACCTTATACATGTCACATTGTTACCAAAGAACCATGCAACGTGCATAATAAATTATCTTGTGTAACAACGAAAAATTGACAGCCATCACAACAATTTCGTTAACAACAACAATCACGTTCGATTTATCAAATTTATCGGTATGAATGTACCTACATACATATGAATTAGGAAAAAATTATGAAAACTAAAAAAAAATATGAAACAGGAAAATATTATTTTCCTGTTTTTGTGCTGATAATTCTGGATGGCTTTATCCTCATTATTATCGATATTAATAAAATACTGGTAAGTAAACTAATATAAAAACAAACAGATGATAAAAGAACTATAGGTACTGCAAATCAGCAACGACGCGGGCGCTGCATGTGGACCAGGACGCCTCGCCGTTCGTCCCTCGTGAAGGAGACATGATGTAGCCGTCGCGAGCGCAGTTGTTACCCGTCCCATCGTGATGCATTCCCAAACTGAAAAGACGAAATAATCTTACAGAACGACCCATATTATCGGCCAGTAGAAACTATTTTAAAAAATAAGCAAAGGAATGGGGCTCCGATAACAAGTAAAATTATTACACCTAATAATTTCATGGTTCATTAAACTTACAACACAATTTAATATTACAGAAACAAACCGTTTAACAAGGCCCGCATAATGGCCCTAACGTAAACTAAGGAATACAATCGATTACAAGTTAATGACCTTGTAGATTCAAAGTTACAGCAAAGCTGATAATACGAGTTATGATTGTTATGGCAAATCAAAACTGTAGTTATAATAAATGTATCGATATTAAGTCTTGGAATCTATCTAACTACGTAATAAAAATAGAATAATATAATACGAGTTATGACCGACTTGTGTCCAATCTCATGTGCTAGGATATAAACGGAGGTGAAGCCAGCGGAGGGGTAGGGCCGGCCGAGTAGGTCAGATGTGCCGAATTCTGAAACTACACACGCATGTGCTGGCAAACACACGCCACCTACTGGCGCCAGACCCATCGTCACACCATTCCGACGACCTCCTTCCTCCGAATAGAAGTCCAACCTGGAACAGAAACAAAACAGCCGCTTTATCTTTGGACAAACTAATTTAGTGCAAAAATATAAAAGAACAAAACAAGCTGAAAACGATTTGACCCCAAAAACCTTATGTGACCCGACAAGAACCTCTGTAGACTAAATTCTTAAACAAATAACGGGGATTAACTTTTGGAAGTCTTTTGTGTTTTGAAAGTCTTTTGTAATAGGTATGCTAAAAAGAAGAGATTTATTTTTGCTTTATTTTTACGCATTACACTGAATCATCGATGTTTCTTGTGTAAAACCACTATACAAACCACAGCAAATTTTAAACAGATATTTGCTCGTTGTCATTCATGCATGTAGGTTTTGCTACCCTAGTAAACTCATAATTGTTTACCGTTGAACATAAGTAGTGTACCTAACCAATCATGTCAGTCACTAGGTACAGTTGGAAATTGAGCAACAGGTTTAGATTTACAGTTACCCTGATAGCAGCAAGGCCATGTCCCAATGCTGAGGATCATCGTCGTCGTCTACATTCAACGACCGCTGGTACGCACAGAACGAGTCCAGCAATCGGCCGCGCTCTGCATGCGCTGGCAGTGAAGATGGTTGTGATCGAAGCAGCGTCAGGCGTACGAGAGACAGCTGAATATGAGTGCCCAGAGAGGAGTGCTGATACAAAGCTTGTACCTGAAATATGTATCAATAATTTGACAGAAGTCATGTTTTAGGAAACCCCCAAGCAAAAATAGTATGGTAGACTAATCAATGCCTGTGAATCAAATAATTGAAAATGTAAACTTACACCATTTATGTATGCCAAAAGCATGTCACGAAGGTCTGACTCGCTGTAGTTGAGATAAGGGTAAAATATTTTGTAAGCAGCCTCGTCAAGGAATAAGGCTATTTCGATGGTGTAGTTTGGTGGGCCAGGCTTGAGTCGTGGGGGGTAGGTGCGTGGTTTGCGCACGCGCGGTCGTAGCAGACGTGCGTCATCGCCGGGCGGCGCGGGCGGCGGTGCGCGACGGATAACATGGGCAGTGCGGCCGCTACCGTTTTCCGCCCGCCCGCTACCGAGTGGTAGAGGCCGTACTTCATAAGTAGAATTGTCCACGACAATCAATCCATGCTGAAAACAGCAAACATGTATAGACCAACATCGTGTACTTATTTTGCAAATCCTTCCTTACAACCAGAACCACGTGCTTAAAGTGAAAAGTCTGTTATATACTTACAAGAGCATGATCTTTGCATGCTGAGAACGCAGCGACTGCATTAGACCCAGCGTGCTGAAAGTGGCATGAAGGATCTACCGCGGAGAGCGTGGCTTCCTGACCTTGGTCTGACCACACTCGAAACTCAGGGGAGACCAGTCGACGATTCGGCACTAATTGAAGCTCAAAATTCCTAGAAATGATTGATGAAAAAATAATAACATGGAAGCTTTGTAAATAAAATCTGTGTAGAGATAACCCAAATTTGATCTAGATCTATTTTTTATTATTCATCAGTATCAATGAATTAGCATACGCTTTCTCCTAATACGATATGATTGATTGATCACACGAACGAATCCAACACACTTAAACAGTAATGCTTTGTCAAGGTCAGTCAGTTGGCACTCAATGAAACCAGTTTTTCTTTAATATGCCTCTACGAGCACGCTATGCGTAGAAACGTTTAGAGTCCAACGAGAAACAATGTGTCGTAAACTGGATTATTCTAGTGTTTTCTATGAAGAGTGAAAAGGATAGATATAGGTTTAACTTTCCTATTTTGTCCTGAATACAGGGATCACAGAAAATATGTAAATGTAAACAATTATTTTTTTATAATTCAATGTGAATCTATTAGATTAAATGATTACTTTTGTATATTTAATAAGAACATAGCTTAAAGCGATTTAACAAGACAACTTTATACATATAATGCCAACAATGTAAGTATATGTAACAGATCAAAAGATTTTATTTCTTAAAAAGAGCATAGCTTGATTGGAAGAATTACATGCTCAAGTTCTATCTGATAAAACCTAGCTTCCTCCCACCTACAAGATAAAATTGTAATGTAATTTCCTAAAATATGTAATTTCGTAAATCAGGTAAAGTCCTATGCACATCTCCAATTAGCAAAAAACCAATACAAAGAGCTTTATGATAATTTTGCAGGAAATATACTGTTGTTTAGTACTTAGTTGGCTAAGAGGCGTTAGTTATTTGACATTAAGGTTATATAAAAGAGCCTTTTTTTTGTGAGGGGAGTGTCAGACTCTCACTGACTAAAAACCCCCCAGTTTCTTCTCCTGCTCTGGGCCGAGGTCGCGGTGCCTCATTGCGCTTACCCCGCAACCTCGCAATGACGACACTCGGGCGTTTCCTCCCGCTGGAATATAAATGAGTCTGGTGAGCGATCCTTACCTTCCAAAAGCGTCGAAGCTGTACGGTAATGGGATGTCATCGGCTTGTTTATCGGAGGCAAGCTGCGCCTCTCTGGGTAGCAGCGCTGGTAGATACACCACCTGTATGTCTGAGCTGTCTTGCATGCGCTCTGTATTCGTCCACCAGCCGTGCAGGGGAAAAAGATCCTAAACAAATATAAAATTAATTACTATTTTGCTATTGACAGGACCTAGTTTGAATGGAAGAATTTAGGAGAATGTCACGGGATAGAATAGATACCAACTAAGCTTCGGTTACATTATCGTTGCACATCATTAAGTTTTATATCAATTTAACTTCAGGTACTGGAATAAGGAATTTCCAATTACTAAATACAGAGAATAATTTTTTTACGAGAAAGCAAAGTTCTTGTGAATTTTGTACTGATACCTAATTAATAAAACAGTTCCTTTTTATATTTAGGTATATTTACGCATTTTTATGATAGGTATACATATGTATATTGTAGGTTCTTAGCTGCACCAAAACTGATCTAGATTTCTTATATCCTGCTAATATAAAGTCGTAAAATTTGTAAGTTTGTATGTAAAGGATAATCCTTGAAACCACTCTTCGAATTTCCAAAATTCTTTCACAGATAGAGCTATTTATCAGTGAAAGAATGCACCTGCATTCTTTTCCTCTTTCATTGTATCATATTCAACTAATAATTAATATTATATATAAAATTGGATCGAAAAATGTGTTGGTAAGCGCATAACTCAATAACGCCTGGACCAATTTTGCTAATTCTTTTTTGTTGTGTTAGTTATTATCAGAAGAAGGTTCTTATCAAAGAAAATATTAGAAAAGTGGAGGGGAAGAGTATGAAAAAGTGACCCTTTGATAGCGAAATAGTTGGAACCGTGCGAAGCGGGTGCGGGCCGCTAGTAATTAATAAAACAGTTCCTTTTTCATATTTACGCATTTTTATTATCTATAAGTACTAAAATGATATAGAGGTAAAATTATTAAGTTTGTATGTAGGGTATCTTTGGAACGGCTGGTCGGATTTTCAAAATTATTTCACTGATAGGTAGCTACAATAATCCTGAGTGCTATAGGGTATAAATTATACTTGATTTGCGTATTTTCGAGATCGAGTCGAGATATCGGTTTAAAAACTGCTGTTTTTTTTTAAATCCCGGGATATATTACTTTTATACACTTGCGAAGCCATGGCCGGTATATGATGAAAGTAATTCTCGTAGCACATTGCTACGAAACAGAAATAAATTAATTCACCTACAATCAGCATAATTCAAATTACTGCTCTCCATTACCTAAACAAGTATTGATCGTGTTAAAATGGTATTAAAAATTAATGCCTTATTTGCAAACAATTTCGAAACAGTCACGGGTTTCCTTTCCTTATAAAAAGGGGTCGCAGTAACCGAGTTGCCGTTGCTACGGAGCGAGTTGCGACTTTACGGATACATATGTACATATATATGTGCTAAATAAATACAGTCACCGACCCTCGACATTCTCGCGTTGTCTGCATTTTTTATTCGAAGGTTCATTTCTCTGATTTCTTCCTGGAAAAACCAGACAAACTTGTTGCCGGCTCACAAAGAGAGAGATTTTGAAAATATTCTTTATTTAAATTTTCCATTAGCAGGTGCGCATTTTAAATAAAGAACTTTTTCTGATGTTTCACCTAATAGGTACCTCCGATATTTAAATTGGGACATCATACATAAGGATGTTTAAGTAAATAACAGAGATATTTGTCTATCAACGTATCACAACGAACGAAGGAGGCCCAGTTCAGCTCCGAAATAAATGAAAAACATGCCAATTAAATTATCTATATATACCTACGTACGTAACAACGTTACCTTTTCCTGAAACATAAACTTATTTATTTTGTAAGCCTCCTCATTTAACGGAATCACTGAACGTTTCATCACTTGGTAATGGCTACATTTATTTGTACGTAAAAGTTTAATAATTGCTCATCAAAAAGCTTTGCTCGCAACAAATGCCTACGAAGACATTTGTAATCCTTGAAAGCCTAAGTAATTACAAATTATATCATGAATAATGTGTTGTTTTACTAACTGGGATTATTAGCATAATATTGTGTATTACCTACATTGTTAGATAAAATCATGGAAGTTAACAATTTACGTTGTATAAGCGGGATGTGCTCATGTGCCACATATTGACTGCGCCATATTAACCGTGCACGTTCATTCACTCGGATTAAAAGGCCATACCCTATCGCCAACCGGCCATGCAACGAGTCTCACACAACCGGCCTCCGTATAATGAATAAACAAACAAAATGTGAAATCAATAAACGGGTAGTTACAATGACTCAGGTAGGTAATTGTTTATACCAATTACTGTTACTACGATGAACAAAAACCTGTTACTGGTTTACGCAATAGAAGCTTTAATTTAATATTATGTTACGATTATGTAGTACAACATAACTGAAAAGTTATATTACCGTATATATCATTATGTGTTAGCTAATATTTTAAAATTACCAGTTCGTGAATTGCTCGCGCTGTTTTGAGGATAATGGCTAACGTCTGTCTCGCACACCGATCGATTTTTCAGATGCGAACGTCCTTTACGCGTCGAGTCCCAGCCGTAGCTAGGGAGAGCTATTCCATACCTTTCGGTCAGGATAAGTCAATAATAATTAATATATTTACCTTGTAGAAATTTTAATAAAACTTGATTTATAGATGTTTTCGCTTGTTCAGTCGACTTAATATTTATTGTAAATAAACATTTATATTAAAAATTTCAATATCTACTACTAACTTCAAATACAGCTGACAATTTGATTAATAATCGACATTAGATCAAGAAGTGAAACGCATACCTAGTTAATGAAAATAATGTCACTATGGACCATTGTGATGAAAAATATTATACTAAGATAGAATATTGACGCTTGTAAATGTCTAAACTAGGTCCCAGCTGCCTGAGCCATTGGAGCTACCAATCATTCACAGATTACTCAGCTTTGTTGCTCTTCAGACCGTATTTTACAACAATGCAATCAAACTGGGTATCAGGAACATCAAAATAATCCGGACAAAGCGATGATAAATTTATGAATAATGTAGGTCAAAAGGCAATGCGACAAGGAGCCCAAGCGAGTGGTGGGCGCGCGACCATTGTCACGGACATGTGGCGTGTGCTACACGTTCTCACACTACTTTTATTGCTCTCATTAACAGCTAGACCACACTTTTATTGGCCTTGTTAAGTAATCTCCATTATAACACGCCAAAGCTTGTTAAAATGGTTGTCGCATCGACTTCTGAAATATTCATCGTTAAGTTCAGCGACTCATACGTTATTATCAATCTTTATCACGCCTCTTATTTTCAATATTTATAAGAGTACATATCAATCCATCATTTCACACCAACTGGGCCAACGATCCGGAGATCGCTGCTAATTATTTTGTTGACACTTAGGTACTGCCCGCGGCCGGAAATTATTCGACACATTATAATATCATTAGTTACACATTTATCTTAAGTTTCAGATATGAAACTAAACAACTGCGATTCTAGATCCTGGTTCCTGAACCCAGAATATATTTGTGTAGACGACACATCAAGATAAGTTATCAGAGAGAAGCTTTTGTTGAGTACGACGTGTTGGACTGGTTTCATTGTTTCCGTAGTGCAAATGATTGATGATAGCAGTCCGACAAGCGGCGGCGACTCAATGAAACTGTAAGTAGTTACCACAAATGTTGAGTAGGTACTGTAGTTTGCTGTATGAATTTTAACATGTCAGTCAAAGTGATGGAGAACAGTGAAACCGAAATCAAGTCCACATGAGTCAGCTAAGTGTAGGCCCAATATTAGCGGATGCGAGCGAAGTAAAGGGGAAAGTAAAACTATTTGTTTTTCCTTTTCTTCCGCGCCAGACAATGCGGCTTCTGAACAATTATTAGCGGCTTTGAATAAGTGCCAGGGTATAAAGGCGCCAGTAATTACTTTAATTTTGGCATTCAATTGTGAGTGTTACGTCGGTATGTGGCAATGATGAAAGTTACTGGTATCGATCTCAATTACACGGAGGCTGCGGGCACGTCGCGTCGCCGGCCCACAATGAAGGCACGCTGTGATTCATCGACAGCAATTGAAAAACTGTAGTTGACGTTAGCGTTGTGTAACGTTTGTACGTGATCCAGTACGTGAAACACCTGCATTTTTATTACGTAACATAATTGTCAAAATAAAATCGTATCGTAAGCCGTTGTTAATGTACCATAATTTGGTGAAAGTTTTAATAGTTTCGGGAAATGTGCATTGTAGGTAACCCGTTATTGACGCAACGTTACATAACCGAGGTCTGAAAAGTAGCGTAGCCGAGCGGCATATTCCATACGTACACAAGAGACAGTTGTGAAACGGGTGCCCAACCCTTTCTTGATACTTTACAAACTAAAAGCTATTTAAATATCGATTTGTCTGCTTAGTACACTCCATATTTAATTACAAAACAAATAGGTACCTACTCTTCAAACTCACGATAGGTACCTACATAAGTAAGCCACCTACTCTCTTTATTATTTACTAGGTACATGATTTAAAAACAATTAATTTGGATTGGCTCACTACCTACAGAATTCGAATACAAAAAAAATGTTGCCAGCTATTGTATATAAATCAAATTAATGCTATAAATTATACTAAAGCAGGTAAGTATGAATAGTTAACCTATTTAGTTATAAGTAGAGAGTAGTTCTGTTTATTCCATCGGGTAATAAGTAGGAGTGATGAAGATACATAAGTATGCAATACAATTTGACTTAATGATAAACTGATGCTATATTATTAAAATAAATTCCCGTCCCGTGTAAAAGAATATGAGGTTCCTGCTGTCATCGTAAAGAATTGTACTCCATTAATCAATTTCAGATCCATCCAGTCCCTACTGCCTTCGCACATACGTATATAAATCAAGACTATGTAGCGAGGCCCTACGAATATTAATATTACGAATTTTCCCTTTTATATGTATATGATATTTCCCGAAGGTGAGCGATGTTCAGATCACATTTACGAAGAAACCGATATTGTTATTTTATCCGAATAGAAACTCGGTATTATGAGCCCTTTAAAAATCTTATTAGCCGCCTGATACCGGAATAATGGATGCGATCACTTTTTATTATAAATGTAGCCTTTATTTTGTCCTTGACAATGATGTGAGTAAACCTTTGGATAAAACAAGTGCGTGGGTATACGGTTCCGTCTGCGGCTGAAACGTATTTCCGAATTTTCATCAAAACTTTAACCTTTGATCTAATATTTTCACCTTTCATATTTTATTTGATCAAATATTTACCAGGAAACTGTGGGTGTCGTGCTGTGTCTCTTACTAATACGAAAGGGAATTAAAGTCACCATTCTATGTCGTATATTTTCTTTTTGATTTACAGTTTACGTTAGTAGGCAAACATGTGAAATTTCGTTTTAGCAAACTGCGAGTGTGCAAGGCCTTAAATTTAGGTCACAAAAGAAAATTTTAAAAAGCTTTTCGTGTCTACAAATTATATTGCTATGTCCACGTGATTTCTAGCTCAAATAAAAGATAATTTGACCCTAAGTAAGTACACTCAGACATCACAAAAAGTGATAATAATGTGAGCTAACAAAAGCGTGTCAAGCACGCTACACAGCGGGCTAGTCAAAACACACAACACACGCGTTTTTATGTATATAATCGTCGTTATCAAGAACACAAAATTTACTTAGAAGTTGTTTCAGTATGTTTTTCACGTTTCACATATTGAAACTACTACCACTCTTTTTTACAAAATAAAATATCATTTTCAAAACCAGGATTGAAATAGTTTATTTTGTTTATCAGATTATACTAAAACAAAAGATTCCCATATTTAAAAATATAAAAAGAAGTTCCATTCTATTTTTATTTTTTAGTTTTCGACTATGATATTTTTTTTTTTGTTCGATAAACAAAAGCACTTTGATCACGGGTTTTGTATTATATTCTTCTTCCTGGTTTATTGGCTACCGTTTATTAATATTTTAATATTTTAGTTGACAACCGTTTTATAAACTAATACAAGTTTTTTTTTTATTTAGTATAAGTAGTGTTATTTTAAAATATATTTAAAATTGGCTCATGTTGTGATAGGTTAGGTGTTATTTTCCCGCCATTCAATTGAAAAACACATAAAATCACGATAGCGTAAGGAGGTTTGTACACCTTGTTGTGATTAATAATTGCTTTAAGCAGGAACACAAAGGAACGTTTGAACTTACGGTCAATTAGTTTAAAGGAGGGTGGGTTTAGGAGTAGGAGTTTGCGGAAAATTCATTATTTCTAATAAATCGAATATTTAATAATTATTTAGTGTTGTTTTTGTTTGTTTTACTGAAATGAAAAGCTTTAGCGGAACAAACATTCCAGAAAGGGGTACTACTTATCTTGACGATTTTTTTCAATTTCACAACCCGTTACCCAATTAGGTATGCTTATATACTATAACAAAATTGAATCTTCTTAATTTTAACTTCTTATTTATTTGAAATACGTTTTTTTTTAATCTGCAGATAATAAAAATTTACGAATATTCTTTAAGTAAGTATAACGTTTTTTTGGCACTACCTACTCAGTATTTTTCGGACTTTTTTAATCGATATTGCTGACTATGGATATCAAGCATCATAAAATAAACAAAAAGCAAGTGTAGTGTAGTGTAATAAATCAATAAATAAGAGATGAACGCGCCGCCCGCCCTCGCGGCGAGTTTACTCACGGGAAACCGCGCAGGCGCACCGTCGCGGACCACGCACAGCAGCGTTACTAACACTATGTCACTTGCGAGTGCCATCACTGCCTCACATTGCTGTCCAGCCACAACACTATAAGGTACTCCTTCACACTGTGCGCACTTCTTATAGGCCGGTGCTCGGAAGTTGCATGCAGGTGCTTTGAATATCTGAAGCAAGCGCGATGCACCGTGCGAGGCGAGGGACGGACCGTCGTTGCGCGCGATTAGAACGCGTACACTTATGAGGCGCCAGCTACCGAATAAGCATTGCGAGCCCCCGAATGAAGCGAACACCTTTCGCACCTCCAAGAGAAAGTCGAAGGAAAGTGCAGAATTTGGCTGCGAAGGCACCGCCTACACGCGTCCCCTGAGGAGCATTGTCGCGAGTCATCCATCACTCGACCTCGCCGACAGTCAACGGCTTCCGCTAATCAAAACAAATGAACATTATCGAGTGAGGGACGCGGACGCCGCCACCGCCGCCTGCCGCCGCCGCCAGTCGGCGAGGCGTGCGCTCCTCGCACTACTGCAAATGTCACAGCCCATTCTTATGTTCACATCCAAATATCAGCTAAACAAAAGGCTCACTGATTTTACAAACCCTAAATAGCCTAACCTGTACTTCAAGTTCTCAGTATTTTATCATGCTTTCTTTGATACGTAGAAGACAGCCCGCATTCTCTTTATCTGAAGACTGACGGCTGAGTCATGCTGTTATTGATCGAGGTACGAGTTCATTCATGTATGCCTATACTTTACTACTAAGTACCTACTTAGATATAAGTGACGCAAAGTGCAAATGTTTGTGGAAACCATGAAGCATAGGTAATGTGGTTTGATTTCATTCAATTACTCAATGATAAAGTGACACGAAAAAAAAAATCCGTTAAGGATTATCCTGAAAAGTAATTTGTAAAATGTAAAATGTCATATTATAGATGTAAAACATTATTCAAAGAAATTGTTAAAATGTGTAAAATATGAGGTGGCGTAGGCATTGCGTAGTCACGGTGTAGGCGTTGCGTAGTTACAGCGTAGGCACTGCCTGGTCAACAAGTAGAAGTAGCGTATTAGTTGTGTAGGAGTTTTACAAAAACTCCCTACAGGTATTGACTGATTCCTGAGCGTAAGAAGCGTAGCGCTCCGCGCTCACATAAAATATACAACAGACATAGACGGGGCCCGGGCTCGATGTACAGCCGGGGTTGCGGGTCAAGTGCAATAGGGTAACGCGGCCTAGGCCTGGATCAGAACAAGGAACAGGATGATTTTTAGTCAATCCTTGACTGTTTATGGTTGACAATAAATGATAGTCATATAAATGCGTAAGGCCGTGGCATCGGTCCGGTCAAGCAAGCTCATAGTGCCGAAGCATGGCTCTGCCAAATGAAATGAAATGGGTTTGGGTAGCTATGGACTAGATGACATGATAACTATGGAAATATTGCTGTGGTCCCTGCTCCTGATTAATATTAAAACATACGGATAAACAGCCAGGGGGTGACTGGCAGACTCAATTTATGGGTCCCCGTAAACGGCCACTAGCTTGTAGTGACATGGGGGCAACATATAATAGGTTGAGCTGCTTGGGGAAGGATAGGTATATTCCCCAGCTGTCAGAGCTATCCCAGAAGTACGATAAAGACCAGCATCTTACTAAGATTACATCCTTCATCCGAATCCTCTTTAACTCAATTCAGGGAAGAATGAGGTGGGAGGGCTTATTGTAATCCTAACTAGTATTATAAATGCGAAAGTAACTCTGTCTGTCTGTCTGTCTTTTCTTCACGCCTAAACTACTGAACCTATTTTTGTAAAATTTATTACAGACATAGTTTGGAACTCGAGAAAGGACATAGGATAGTTTTTAAACCAAAAATCTGCATACTACATACATCCACGTGAACAAAGTCGCCGTCTGTCTATATTGCGTTATTTTTATTGAAAGGTTTGACAAGATAAAAAAATATTATGTAAGAGGGGAACTTACAACACTACAAGAAAATCATGATATAGATAGCAGTACAAGTACCACTATAAAAATCTGCACAATCTAAAATATTTTAATTCCTTTTCAATTTAGTTGAAATGATATTTTTTGTTTTGATGGTTTGAATGAAGCTTCAGTGGCTTGTTCGGCTAGGCTAGGTAGCGGCGTATGCTTTTGTAATGAATCTTTAGTCAGGGAGAGTAAAAAAGTCAAAATCATTTATTTTAATTAGACCACAGTAGGCACTTTTAAACGTCAAGCAAAAAACGTCAGTCTGTCCGTCTGTCCTCTAGTGAAGTTATTTGCTCATTCCAAAGTTCATTCATTCCTATGGAGAAGAACGAGCAAGAAACTCCATGGTTAGGTACTCTTTTTCAATCAGTTTTAGCTACAGTACGAAATAAGCTTTGACAACTTGTCAAATTCCATAATATTATTTAAAAATACTAGCTTCCCGCCTCTGTTTCTCACGGGTTCAACTATCTCACTATCAACACGTTCCCCCTCTACTTTTTTTTCTAATATTTTCTTGATTTTTTCTTCTGAAAATAGTCCAGCAACTTCTTCTGGCAATAATAAATACAACAACAAAAAATTTGCAAAATTGGTCCAGGCGTTGCTGAGTTATGCGTTTATCTATAAAAATAATAAATAAATGAGAACATTAATTCCAAATTGAAGTATACCTACATATGCGTTGTTCTGAATAGTTGGAATCTTATTACCATATTCTGATCTGGAATTGTGCTTAGTAATTATGTGCCGTACCTACCCATAATGACGAAATAGGAATAATTTATAAACATTAGTCGTGCTGATATTTTTCTTTTCTCAAGAAATCAAAATTTTAATACTTATAGTTCTTTTCGGAAATAGGTTCGGTTCGGCATTTTATACTGACCGGTGATGTAGCGACCTCCCATTCCCATTATCATTTTATCTCAGTTTTGTTTTTATACATACATATATAGGTACTACAAAATAAATGAATAAGTGAGTCTAATATTTACCAATTCCTTGTATAAATGATCGACGGACTCGGAAATTTTCGTACCATGTCATTACTCCTATTCCGGACACTATGTTATGCCTGATTACTTTACGATATTAACGTTCTGTTTAATATGTACCTATAGACAAAGTATAGGTATGTATGTACAGCACCAGAAAATCTAGAAATACTTAAACCCTGCTTACTGCTCATCACATGTACATAGGTGTCACCAATGTAATAATGAAAGTAGCGCACGCCAAATTCTGATTGATAGTGAACACTATACAGAAAGACGTTTTTAGAACTATAAGATTTAGATAGACTTTGGATTGAAAATCTGTATCTATAGGTATTTCATATTTTCTCTGAAGGCAATTTGCTAGAGAAGTAGGTATTAACTGTTATAGGCACATAAACAGTCAAGGAACTTGACCAGTTTTAATTAGGACATACTAGTGATGCAAGCTTCAATTTATTAGTCATCTAGAATCTAGATATCATGTTGGATGAAATTTTAGTAATACTAAATAATTTATTAGGCCAAGAATAAGTTGGAGCGCAATGCTAGGAATGAGTAACTCCTCGATACGGGCGCCGCCGCGCGCCGGTAGTTGTTTGCGAACGCAGAATAATAATGAACTTACAGCACGCGTTCATAGCCCTTTTATTACGTTATTTGCACACTTGGTAGGCAGGAACAACATACATACTTGAGCTGTTGCTCTATTCTTAGATAACTTTAATAAGTAATAGTGCTTCGTCGTATGTCAAAGTAGGAACAATAAATACCTCGAATCGTTAGCATTTTCGCGCGCCCTCGTGTGGTGCACATGTTGGGACTGCGGTGAATCACTACTGAAAAAAAAAACATCGAGGGACGGCGGAGAACGCGGGTGACGCAGCGGCCGCGAGGCTCGAGTCATTGATCCCGATACAGTCCCGGACAGCCGACGCCATGTCGGAGCTCGCGCATACGACCGAGCCGACGGAGCCGCTCCTCCCGCCGCTCGCGCTCGCCGCGTCCGTCGCGTGCGTCGCCGGCGCTGCCGCTCTCGCCAACTGCTCCGTGATAGCCGCACTCTTCAAAACATCTCGGAGTGGTAAACAAAAACTTGTTTTATACCTATATATTACATTCTGAAGACGAATTTAAACTTTAATACCCCGTTAATACCCTGTTTACATTTCACTTGGAATCTCCTTTATGATAAAAGTAAAATATCACTTCATTTGATACATAAAAGTATGTTCATGACATTCCCAGATGCATAGTAATAATCAACGAGCTCTTACTTAGTTTATTTCTTTTAGGTACCTATATTGTATACCTATGAGTGTAAGTCCAATATGAGCCTTATTTACAGTAAGTTGCGAATGTGTTCACTTTGAAAGTAGCCATTTAAGATTAACTTTGTTGGGAGTTCATTCCATTAAGTAGGCCCATTGACAAGCCTTGTACACTAATTGACTTGTTTGTATTGGACTCTCTTCGTCTGCTCTTATTAGCCAGTTATATTTAATATCATTTGGTATGTTTTTTTTTTCAGGTTTACTGGCCATCATTTTACAATTAGCTGTGGCTGATCTTATACTCGGAGCCACATTAGGACCTGAGTTATGGTCCTACAATGCCAGGTCTTGGCCTTTTGGTCAACACAGCTGTGTGGCCTACCGCGGACTGACGGTTTTTGCGTCAACTGTATCATCTTACCTGGTAGCTACTATTGCGCTACATTCGCTCGCTACAATTAAAATTGAAGAAAAAGCGGTCGCCAAAAGAAACAAACGCAACGCACAGGATGAAGATGAAGAAATAAGATCTTCGCGCCATAGTTTAGTGACAAGCAGTGACTCCTCCACTCCTCCGAGAACTATGAACCTGGACTACCGGCTGACTGACCGTCGTATCTCAGTGGCGCCACCATCAGTGTTTGTTTGGGTGTTGGCTATTTCGTTAAGTGTTCCGGAATATATTTTAGCCACTACCGTGCACCAGGATCATAGCGTTGTTCTCTGCACTATTGTGGACAACAGTCAGCGTCTGCACATGTATTCAATCCTTGCTGTTTTAAATTTGTTCCTACCTCTATTTATTATGAGCATCGCTGGTGCTCTAGTCATTATTAAGTTGAAGATAAAGAAAATACTATCTCAGATCGAATGCTTTGAATCCACTGCTGCACTGAAGTTGTCCCTGTGGCTAATAGTGATTTACATTGTTTTATGTACTCCTCGTTCTTTTGTCACCGCCTATAATATTTACTCCAAATCAATACTAGGTAATGAGACTTCGTTGGCTCCTAACAATGACATGACTGTTGTGAATGTTGCAACCAGCAGCACGTTTATTATTTCAACTTTGCTTCGTCCACTGCTGAGCATAGCTCTAATACCACGTGTGAGAAAATCGTTTTCTTTCGGATCATATACAAGTACAGACAATGTGTAGATAATAAAAAACTTCTGAAGTTATTAACATTTTCCAAAGTTGAACAATAGATATCTAAAGGAGGTGATATCTCTAAAGACTTGTGTACAATGTGCTAACGTAGCATTTAAGCAAGGTTGCATTTAAATGTAAGTGAAAAGTTGTGGTATTTAGTCAGGGAGACCAAGGATTAGCATAACAAATCGACGGTACCTAAACTATGCAGCCAACAGACTACGAGTAAATGACATAGCTAGTGTCAGATGTGACAAAGTGGGGAAATAGAGATAGAAATTCTTCTAAAATTAGACATCTATAGGTACAAATCAATCAGTAGTAGGTATTTACTTAGGTACTCAGTAGGTAAACAATATATACCTACTGGTCAGTAGTCAGTAGTAATACACAATGCAAAGTGGAAAATATTCTTATACTTATGGAAATTTTAATTTTATTTCTTGTGGGTAAGTTACTATAAGTAGATAAGTAGGAAGTATAGTTTATGCTAAGTATGACATGACCAATTAGACGTTAATAATAAAGTTATGGCTACTTTGCTCACTGTGCCATTCCTAGCTGTAGATTATTTATATAAACTATAAATGATAGTCACTATAAGAAGTTACTGTAGGTAAGTATATACCTATCTATATGATGTAATATAATATAGGTACCATACACAACATAATATTCAAGCTTAAAAAGCTTTTCAGATTGCACGCTCTCCAAAATATTTTCAACCGACTAGTGTGATAGACATCTAAGTGATTTATTTGGAAAGCTATGTATTTTTTTATGATTTTGTAATAAAATTTTAATAAAAAAACAAATTGTGGTTTTTATGAATAAGTCGGTATCTTCCTCCTGCAACATACTTCCATATACCATAATTAAAAAGTTAATTAAAAGATGCGGCTTAGTATGTACTTATTTAAGAAATTTCTAGTTTCCTTTGCAGTGCGCACTTCGCTCATGGATTAGCCTAGTAGAGCTTGCACTTCATTAATTATGTCTTTTAAAGTAAGTTAGTAGCAGCATTAGAAATATTAACCTAGCCAGATACCTAATTATCAGCGCAAAATGAACAGAATTTGGAAAACAAAAGATTTATTACTTAAGTATACCTAATAAATGTCTAGGTAACCACGTTTTAATTTTCATTGTAAGGCTTCTTGCCTTCGTTGCATATATTATTTAAATGTGTGACTTATATGAATGTAATAATCTACTTAAATGATTGGAAATTACAAAAACACTGATAGTGGCTGCTACAGTACCTATCTACCTCTATGGAGGCTACTATAATGGCTAGACAATGTAATGCACTCCGCAAATATGCGCAACTATGGGGAGATTGGGGTGGGTCTGTCTCGCTCCCTCCTGAACCACCCCCCAGCCCAGACCAGAGTGATGTCATGCAACAAATACTAACTAAATACGTACCTACCTACATACGAGCCAATTTGTAGGCCATGGTTTTATTGATTTTACCAATAAATTCTTTCTAAAAGACGAAGTTTAATTTCATTCAAGGTTCTAAGGGAACTGGTCATGCTCCCGGACCTTGCATTTTAAAAACACAACAATAATATAATTATACTTGTACCTACTCCTAGGTACTTAAACAAGTATATTACTTGTATACTTACAAAGTATTCTAAACACTGCACATTGGCCTTTCAAAAAAAATAATGAACCTCCTACATATGTAGGTACCTACCCACCTATTCATTATGTAGGTACCAAACGTACCTAGGTTTTTCGATCATGAGTTTTAAAGCTTAGATTTATTTTATAAAGTTCAAGAATCGGTCAAGTAGTAGCACTTACCTCAGCAAGATTTCCGTAAAGTGGGTAAACAATTACTATTAGGTACCTACGCATAGCGTTAACCGACTTTAAAATCTGAATACTGGAAGTAGCTAGCAAATTTTAATCCGAATACGTACTGTGTAGAGTAATGTCGTGGTGGCCCGGAGGTTAAGGAGCCCGCTTCTCTTGTATGAGGGTGTGGGTTCGAAACCTGGAAAGTACCAATGTGACTTTTTCCGTTAGTCAGTCTCAGTCTCAGTTATATGTACTTTCTATGATTATTTAGACACCACTGACATACGGTGAAGGTAAACGTCGTGAGGAAACCTGGACTTTTAATTTCTAATTATAAGTTTGAAATCGCCAACCCGCATTGAGCAAGCGTGGTGATCAATGCTCTAACCTTCTCCGTATGAGAAGAGGACTTTGCTCAGCAGTGGGCACTTATAGGCTGATAATGATGAGAAATTCTAGTAACACTGAATTTATTTAAATTTTTGTCCATTAACTCACCACTCTCGCAAGTCATATGGCAAGGCGTGGTAGGAACAGAAGGAATAGGGTATTTTTAAGCCAATAAGAATTCTAACACTTCATCTCGCCTCACTTAGGGCGGGAGCAGTCATTGGTTACCTACTTACTTCTCCAATCTCGAAGAGGTTGTCCGCATCGTAGAATTTTCCCGCAAAACGGCCACATCTAAACATAGAACTCCCTAACTTTTTATTTTATACGCCAAATGGTATACCTACCAAACTTTTTTTTTTTTCAATAAAACCTTCTTTGTTGAAAGTGCACTTCTCCCACTTACATAATTATGTAGGTAAAAACAAACTACACCGAACAACTGTCCACATGACCCGACGGCGGCCTACGTAGGTAGACTATCCTTCTTGTGAGGGTGTCTTTTTAAGCAAAGAACTATGAATGTAAGCATACCTACTGTGTGCTATGAACGTATTTGAGTAAAGTTCGGAACAGAAATAATAATTTGTAGGTAGTCCAAAATAAAACACTGGCCTTTTCATGGCACAGGGCAGCCACACTCAAACTGTGGCCCGAGGGCAGCATGTGGCCCGCTGGGACTATATCAGTGGCCCACGTGCAATAGGAGATACCTAATTTATTGTTAACTACCACGGAATAGTTTCTGTTCTCTCCTAAACTAATAAGTATGTAAATCCTTATGTACCCTACCACCTAAGTTCACATAGTGGAATGCTATAAATAGGTATATTGAGTATTGAACACGTAATGGTAAAGATTATCCCCGCCTATGGACTTATTTGCACCAATGGCGTAGGGCAACGAACAACAGAATTACCCGTAAGTAATAGGCGCTACCAATTAATACTTTCAACATGAAGAGCGTTGCAAGTGCGTTGCCGACCTTTTCGGGGTTCGACGTCAATTATCAGCTTGAGAATAGGTAGATGCTTTTAGGCTGAGGTGTGAAAAAAATGATCTTACGTACCTATGTAGGTAGTTACGCCTTTTTTGACAGAGACATTCGAATCCCGAGATTCTCAAAATCAAGTAGGTAGGTACTGTCTATAACCTGGGTATACTTATATACCTATACTGTAAGTAGGCTACATAAGTCATCTGTCGTAGCATGTTTTAGTAGGAAGGCGACTACATATTACGTTAGCTTTAGTAAACCCAGAATGATCTCAATTAAAAAATTGGAAGTAGCTAGTGTTAGTGTTGTAACCCGATCAAGACAGTATCAGTTGTTCTAGCTATAAAATATAGGTATATCGACCCAATAAAATTTCTTGACCTCGCCCTTGTGTCGCTTAACGGGCCAAGGCTTGATAGCTATTTGCCGCTGAAACAGCGTTTACCTTCGACCTTCGTTATGATTGTGTTTACCCTTTTTATTATTAAAGGGCCAACTGAATAATTTTAGACAAACATCATTTGGGGTATTAGGTGGCGGTTTATTTAAATATTGGTCTAAAACTAAAAATTGTATTTAATACAAAAGTTTATTGGTGAAAACATGAAAAATATAATAGATTAATGGCTGATAAAATGCAGCAGAGAAATGTTACAATATTGGCCATCACAAAAACTATCTTGCTAATAAATGCCTGAAAATTCAGAATGCTATTATAATCACTGATGGGGCACAATAAAATGGTTAATGTCAACAATTAAAGAGTTCCTTTGGTAATATTAAAATGTTAGAGGACATCACAAAAACCACGAAAGACACTAACAAGTTTTTTGTGCCCTAATTAAATTGATACAGCCATTATTATACAGGTGGTTTTTGAATTCACTTTATGTAAAATCTAATTTAATTGGGTCAGTTATGGGCGCACTTCAACAAATTTTTAATAACGAATAGCATAATTTTAAAACAATATTCACCATCATGATCTCCTTTTCACTGCGGACATGCGGCGAAAGGAATGTTAATTTGGGGCCGACCAGGCTGTTAAGTTTTATTCTAAATATAGAAAGGAAAACACTTTTAACTTAAGAAACCGTAATTTTAATAACTTAAGTTATAAATATTTATATTCATCGGGTCAGCTCGATATCTGTAATCCAGTGTAAATACAGAAATACAAAACCGTCAAAGATGACACATAACATTTAATTTTAGACGGAACGTGAAGGTCCGCTGCGAACGACATTTTTAACATTTTTTTACAAGCGACGGCTCGCATCAGCGGCGGAGGACCCGCGCCGCGCGGCGTTCTCGAATGTTACTCGTTTTCTTATAAAACACCAATGAGAACAAATGCGTGTGCTGGGAGTGAGCGCGGCGCGAGATTAGTTGTCGCCGCCCTCGGCGGGCTCGTCGCCATCGCCTTGCGTGTCTGACGTCCACAACGTCAGATTGTCTCGCAGCAACTGCATGATCAGTGTCGAGTCTTTGTACGAGTCTTCATTCAGTGTGTCTAATTCGGCGATCGCATCATCGAACGCCTGAAAAATAAATTGACAATATTAATTACAATCAATAAGTTTTGAAAAGGTATATATCAAAATTAAGAAATGAAAATACGTAAAAATTTCTTTCATGGGAAAATAATAAAAATACACTCTGATGCTGGCTGGATCGAGTATTAAGGGTTAATTGCTGTACACACACGGCCATGCTAATACAATATTATTAGTGTTGTATTGTATCTGTACGATTAATTCTTTAATATTGAAAGACTTTATATTTCATGCATACTGATAAAGGAGAATGCACTACTTGCAAGAATCTTGACAGTTAGTAAAATTATGAACAGTAATGTGTCATCACACTAATTTTCTCTTTTAATAAAAAAACCTGTTTAGCTAAGTGGCACGCTCGCGCAGGGGAGTTGATTATCTCGTAATAGAACACGGAAAAGTTGAGCGCAAGGCCGAGTCTGATGGGGTGGGTCGGTTGCATTTTGGCTTTAGCTATGTCGAATGCTTCTTGGTAGGCCTTCTGCGAGTCCTCCACGACGGCTGGGGACAATCGAGTAAATTAATATGCCTAGCCTGTACTTCCCCTCGTGCCAGCCAGCACAGAGCCTATGCGTAACTGACACTAATAATGACCTGTTTGGCGAGCTGACACGCTTTGTCTGGTGAATTTAATATCTCATAATAGAAGACGGAGAAATTTAACGCCAGACCCAGCCTTATTGGGTGTGTGGGCTGCATTTTCGCCTTGCTGATCTCGAAAGCATCTTGGTATGCTTTCTGTGAATCCTCTACAACAGCTGTAATGTAAATTGATGTTAACTTACTGTAGTATTGCATAATTAAAATAGTAGAGTAATCCCATTTACTAAATTGAAGACAAATTGATACAAGATTCAATACCTATTACAAATTCAACTTACAATTTCTGGTTTCTCCTGTGGCCACTTCTGCAAGGTACCTATAGTAGTCACCCTTCATTTTAAGGTAAAATACTTTACTTTCTGGATTACTAGCTTTAGGAATAAGGTGCTTGTCAAGTAAACCCTGGAACAAAACAAAAAAAAAATATATTTCCTATACACATTATTTGAATATGGCTACATAACTAACTACTGGTTTTATTACAAATAATATTGTATTAATACAAATTATTTGTATTCCAGAAAACGCAGGATCTAAAGACAGGGCAACGAACGAAAACGGGATAGCAGCGCGCGCAATGACGCGGCGCAATACGTCACCCCACCCTCCCCGCCCGCGAAAACTCCGCACCGCGCCCTGCATGCTCTCACGTGCTAACCAACATTATAACGCCCATGATTAACAAAAACGTTATGACTGCGGAGGAAATGACCACGGCTACTGTTCGCTTGCATCACCCCTCAAATTGGCGAGACGCAAATATGATGACGTCACTCGCGTAGGATGGCGGCAACTGACGTTAATCTTACTTAGTTTGGAATAAATTCTTCATCTAATCGGCAAAAACGGTTAAGAAGAACCCAGAAACCTGTTATCATTATACTCGGAGAGTGCCCAAGTTGAATAATCCTGATTATCCCTGTAAAATTCAAAGACAAAATTTTAAACTTACCAAAACATCGTAGCAGATTTCTCTGAGCTCCTTTTCTACTTTAACCCTATATTCTTTTGCCATCTGTTGTTTTCTTTCCGAGCCTTCGGTTTTCTGTTCAATGGAGGAAATGACACGCCATGATGATCGTCGAGCGCCCACCACGTTTTTGTAAGCAACGGAAAGCAGGTTCCTTTCCTCATTGCTCAGCTCGACACCGGTTTCCGTGACTTCCTTCATCGCGGCCGCCATGTCGTCATATCGTTCAGCCTGCTCCGCCAGCTTGGCGCGTTGCACCAGTTCCTCCTTGTCGACGGACATCGTGGACGATGGGAGAGGATAATTTCACTGATGCCCCTGCAATCAAGGATGAATCACGAATAAACTAATTGAATCGACAAGCAATGGAAGATTCACTTTGAGTTTAAAATCAGAAAGACTAATCGTTTGGGCGTCACTTTCACCGAAGCGAATCGCTTATAGGGTATTTGTCATCATGGATGAATGGAAGTCGCACCTTAGATAGAGGCTCGCGGGCGCTCTAGCGCTATATGAAAATTCAACGAAGCTCAAAGAGCACCCCTCACGCCAAACGCGACATCGACGCGGCGTCCGCTCGGTTTGACAGCATCTCACAGACTCGAGCTACCACTGGCTAGGCACGCGCCGTGTCGCCGCGCCGCCGCTTGGTCACCGCCACTGCGCCAACGGTATTGATCCGGCGACGCGGGATAAACACTCCAGACGAAATACGACTAGCGCGACGATTGCACACACCCCTCACCCTCGCATACGCCCCTCGTGCACCGCGCCCGTCCGCCCGGCGCCTACCACGCTACCCTTATCTATCTACCTATAGCTTTTTACGAGAATCTTCAGTTACTATGCTGAAATATGTTATGCAAATTTTTATTACCATTTGCTTTATTTTACTAAACTATATGAGCAAATAAAATAGATATCCTCTTATGAATACAACACTGCAGAAACTATAAATATATATGTAAGTTGTATATTTTATGAAAAACAAATCTCAAAACCACCCATATGTGAAAATCTTAAAAATGAAAACTAGTTAACTATTTCAATCAAACAAGTTTATTTTAGTTCTACCTGAGTTTTTCAACTAACAGCTGTAACTAAACTACAGTAACAACTAAAATTTAAATAAATCATTAATTATTTGCGAGCATGCAGAGTACTTGTTCACCTAAAGTTGTATTAAGATAAAGAGGGGGTGGGGTCACGACCCTTGAAATGCCTCCCACACTGTTTCCCACCCAACTCTGGGCACCATTTTCATATATTTGCCAATTGTTGATGAAACAATTAATATATAGCTATGGTCAAGTAATCTGAATAAGAAAGGAGAAGTTTAGAACACATAAACTGCCCCTGTGTCAAATTCACACAACCAATTGAAAAATAACTCAAGTGGTTTGCATACATTTTTGATTGCAAAGTGCCTTAATAAAGGTAAAAGATAGGTAGTAATAGTTAGGTACCTTCAGTTCATTAAAGAGAGATATGTATGTATCACACACTATTGAGCATGATGTCAATCTTTGAAGGGCAATGTGTCATGACAAATATGGCAGTTACAAGTGACATCTTACCGTAGATACAGTTGAAATAGAGCTTAGTACAAATTTAGAATTGGCATAGTGAATTAACAAGAGAACCAACACCTGCACATTAATTCCATATAATAATCCTCAATTATTGTGACTAAGATGCCAAGTTATTTCAAAGTGTAGCCAATAAATTTACCTATGTAGGGGATCAAGTTTAAGAGTCACTTTCCAGAATGATCATTATCACAATATATATAAATATTATTTCTTAGGCTAATATAATATGACAATGAGAAAACTATAGTACCGTTCTGAACAATAAGATTAGAACAAAAGCTGCAACTGGTACCTAAGAAAACTCAAGTCCTGAAAGACACATGCATAAGTATCAGGTACTGAGTATGAGGAAAACTATTAACTTATTGATTAACATAAGCCTTGTAATAATAGCCTACAATATATCTAGTATCACTCTTATGAGAGCATTGTGCTGTCGACTCAATGTCAAGCACGTGCCTATCTGAAACGCGATGTAAGTAAATCGAAGGTAATGACTTTATAACAAACGTTAGAACAAATGCTTACTTACCCACCTAATTACAACCTCAAACAAGTTACACAACGTAATTTTAAATAATTATCACTCAGCAGACGTGGTGAAAGGAATGTCATCGCTGATTAACACCATTAGTGGGCTGTAATTACCTTTAAATGCGTATTGAAACTACCTTCAATGACATTACATAGTTATTGAATTGACCAAGATAACGGCATGACTACGCACGGCGAAATTACGACGCACTAGTGTGATCGCTACTTCCCTTTACGAATACGCCAACGTTCGGCATGCCCACGCACTTCGAACACAACCAAATCAATTACTGTATAGCATAAAATACATAGCATCATATCACGATCAATCTCCTAGATTCGGAACAATAATCCAAAAATATATTCAGTCACGTATGAAGAAATGTAAAAAGAAGCAAAAACCAACTTACGCGACGAACCTTCTTACGTGAAACGTCTTAATCCACCGAATGTACTATACTACAACTTAACGAATAAAAATAAATTCTTTGAGAAAAACATAAATCCCGATTACAAAAATTTAGAATTAATCTAACCGCACCGCGAAATCGTGTCGCCGGCTCGAGCAAAATGGCTGCTGCAAGTAAGGGGCACTCCTTCTATGCGTCACAGTCACAGATTTGTGAAAAAACGGCTTTTTAGCATTTACACTTCGTGAAAAACACGTAAAATAGCATTCACTTAATATAATTTTAGTACACTTACTTGTTGGAAGGGAAAAAAAGTAATAAAACCAGTGAATTACAACACAATATCGGTTTTTGTCTTGCGGTGAACGATATACTACACTGACGGCAGCGGGGCCAGAGGGGAAACAAAAACGGAACAGGGTTCACATTACGAGTCGGCCATCTTGAATTACTTTGAAGGAAGCGAAGCACGATGCTTGGTATTCACATTGACGTAGAGCATTCCGAATGTACTGCGCTCTCTTTCTAGAATATGTGAAATGACAGAGATAAGCACAAATTTCAACGTAGGAATATAATATAGTAGGTCACGTTCGCAAGTAACCGGAAGTTTATGTTTTGGCGCTTTTTTTAAATGTAATCGTAATACTGAGGGTTGTGTGTCTAGCGCTTACTATGAGGGTGCAGCCCGTACCAAACATATTTCTTTGAAGCAATATACTTAATTCAGCACAGCATCTTCTTCTTATTAAACCAGGGCCTTAAATATACATACAAGAATTTACTCATTAAACATTTGAAAGTCTATCGTGTAAATTCCAAATTAAAAAATATTTATATTCTGTGCTGTTTATCAAAATTCTACCTGTACCTGATCCGTAGATAGTGACTATAGGTAAATTTCAACATTGGTTGTCTGGTGGCTAGTAGTGGCGATGACTGACAAATAAACAATACAATCATGATGATTTTATTCAGGGAAGAACGGGTCTTTACTTATTTGATGATTTGGTAATTTTATTATTTACCCTAACTCATTTTTATTCTTTACATTACTCACTGTTATCCTTTTATTAGTTACTAATATTTCCTTAATTTGGAATTGTTTTCGCATTAGTATCCTAAATGTACAATTCTAACTAAATCTACTAAATTATATGAACATTCTCGTGTATCGATTGTTTTTTTTCCATCTTCCAGTAAATGTCAAAGTCAAATTCACTCCTAGTGACAAGTAAAGTATTGTACCTACCTACTTAAGTTATAGTTGTCAAGTGTCACGTTCACGTTGTTGTGTTTTTAGAGGTTAGGTTGAGTGATATTAAACCACAATTTGTAAATTTGTCTGTGGGCATCAAAGAAAATTAAACTACAAACAATTTTGTACTTGACGGTTCGGTTTATAATTTAATAACAGAATGCCGAAATCAAAACGAGATAAGAAAGGTATTAAAATAACTGTTAACTAATAGAAATGAACTGTTCACTACCATGCTTGTTTGCTCAAAACACTTAAATACAAAGTAAACTTAAACTTAAATACAAAGTATTTAAATGTTTTGAGCTTTGGTAATGAAATGCAGCTATATGCAAGCTCTCTGAAATTCATGATTTTCTCTAGGATATACCTATTGTGAGCAGGTATTATTTAAGTTTGAATAAATTTGACAAATTCAAATGATTCCTTTATTTTTAGTGTCTTTGACGAAAACAAACAAAAAGGGTTTAGTACATAAACAGAAGATTGTAGAAGAAATCAGAAATTCCCTCTCTAAATATGAGCATATATTTTTGTTCACTGTTGACAACATGCGCAATACCAAGTTAAAGGACTTGCGCAATGAATGGAAAGACTCAAGATTCTTTTTTGGTAAAAACAAAGTCATGGCTGTTGCACTTGGTAGAACAAAAAGTGATGAAGTAGAAGACCAGTTGAATCTAGTAAGTGTTCTTTTCTATCAACTTTGTTCACTTTAGCAAACAAACAGAATAATTACACCATGTTTTGTTAAAATAACAGTATATTGTATTGTAACATTGTATTACAGTTATCCAAGAGATTAAAAGGACAGTGTGGCCTATTGATGACAAATAAAGATGTGCCTGAAGTATTACAATGGTTCAAAAGCTTTAGTGATGCAGAATATGCAAGAGCAGGATTTGTAGCTACTAAAGATGTAATACTACCAGTTGGACCGCTGCCTGACTTCTCACACTCAATGGAGCCTCATCTAAGAAGACTTGGACTTCCCACATCTTTAGAAAGAGGTGTTATCAATATTATTAAGGAATATCAGGTGTGTAATGTTTTGATAAACTATGCATCATCATCATATATCCTTTCCAAAAACACAAAGTTAAAAAAAATAGGAAACCTTTTTTCATATCATATGTTTTAATATTAGTCTAGGCTTAAAGTAATTTAATAAATATTGGATGTTTTTATATCATACATTTACATTATACTGTCTATAGTTCATCACTGTACTGAAATTCATAATAATTTCAGGTTTGCAAAAAAGGAGTACCACTAACACCAGAACAGGCAAGTATATTGAAGCTGTTAGGAATTCAAATGGCAGACTTTAAAGTAGTTATAAAGTGCCACTGGACTAAAGGAAAAGGTTTCCACAAGGACCTTGATGTACCCAGTGATGATGAAGGCGACAATGATGAGGAAAATGCAGAAGAAGACGCTATGGAAGAGGATGAGACATAGTGTTAGAAGTAATTTTAAGAAATATATTTTGTTATACACAATATTTCGGGTTTTAATTTTTTGCTCACTGTGGTAAGATCTAGTTAACTGGAGGATTAAGCTTTTGTGCAGTCATATAGTAATATAAATATTTGTCTTTTTTTTAATGTAGTCCTACTCTAAGATTTTGTCATATGTGCATATATATACATCGTTACGTTTACCAACATACAATTTCACATACACATTACACCCAGACCCAGAACAACAATTTGTGGATCACACAAGAAGTTTTTCCATGCGGAACAACTTCTTGTGTGCGTTGAATCTCCCATTTTGGATAGTGCCCAGGGTTTGATATATATATATTTACTTTCTTAACATTATATGAATATCTGATAATATGAGGTCTGATTAAGAGCCATTTAAAACTTTGAGGAAATATATTATAAAACATGGAGGGCGACATGAGTGTTGATATATAACACTGCGTGCGTTCGTGCAGCGGAATGTTGTTGAATTTAAAGATTTTAATTATGCAGATATTTAGTGTATGACGTCGTATAATTGTGTATGGTAAAAAAAAATTTGTGCATGCAACCATTGTGGAGAAATTCACCAAAAACTGATTCCGCTGGGCGAACGTTGTCGTGGCGGAACTTTTTTTAATCCATAGACTTTAGAAGAAAAGAGATGTATCCAAAAATTAGTGTGTATTTGTGTGTAATTGTGTATGTATGAATAAAACTAGTGCATGCATAAACTTCGGAGAAATTCAAGTTTCCGCTACACGAACGTTTGGCCATTAGCTAGTTTTCATATAAAGCGCTTACATAGAGAGCTGTAGATTTTTACATACGTTGTTTTAAATTTGTGTATATTTGTTTAAAAAACAGATTTAGAAAAAATCGTAGGGTTTAAAAGATAAAAATATAAACGTAAAATACGCTTATTAGGTCTTAGCTCTTAAAGTATGCACTTTAGGGTCTAGATTTTCGGGCACGCTACTATAGCAGCGGTAAGACCCCTCTTTGAGGAGTGGCTTGAGAGACGCCACGGCGTCCTCACCTTCCGCCTGACGCAGGTGCTTACCGGGCACGGCAGCTTTGGTAGGTTCCTGTTTCGGATCCAGCGGGAGGAAACGCCCGAGTGTCGTCATTGTGCGGATCACCTGGAGGACACGGTGGAGCATACGGTGGCGGAGTGCCCCGCTTGGGCTGAGCACCGCCGTGTTCTCAGGGAAGTGATCGGCGGCGGCGACCTCTCGCGCCCGGCCTTAATCGAGGCCATGGTGCAGCGTGAGAGGAACTGGGAAGCTATCTCCTCCTTCTGCGAAGCAGTTATGCTCGCAAAGGAGGAGGCGGAGCGCGTGAGGGAACTATCCTCCTCGCGCCCCAGCCGCCGCAGAAGGCGACATTCCGGACGTCGGGGATCGAGAGATGATCTCCGGCCACCGTAAGCGCGGGTCTGCGGACGGCGAGTAAGAGTAGCTCGCCGCCCGACCAGAACCGGACCCGAGCGTACGGCGCGCAGCGTTCCGCGCGCGCCTCAAAGAGCCAATAGACCACCACAGTCGGGGCCCTAAAGGGCTGATGTTTAGCTGGGGCTGCGGGGTAAGCGCAATGAGGCACCGCGACCTCGGCCCACAGCAGGAGAAGGAACGGGGGGGTTTTTAGTCAGTAAGAGTCTGACACTCTCTTTCGCCTTACCCTGGGCGGGAGAAGTCATTGGATGATTATCTCCTGACAAAAAAAAAAAAAAGGTCTAGATTTTCACTTTTATACAAACCTTGTAAGTGTCTGCAACATGTTGCCAAGTATCAATGATGTTCCGTTAGTAATTAAATAGTTATAGGACAAATTTACCATGAATAGATCACTGTTTACAAAGCAGTCAAATATCACGACTTTCTAAATGAATTGCATGGTAAAATGTATGCCAATAATTAGTGTATTCATTCAACTATTCACATGCAAAATTTCATGTCATTAAATTCAGTAATTAAAGACAAACAATTATAATACTGAGGAAGCATCGAAAACCTACATAACCCGACCAAGTTCGGATGGCTACAAAAAAGCGGCTGTGCAATATATTTAGGTAACATCCCAAAATTTACAGTATAATACCGGTATTGAATTGGTACAGGTGATAACACACTTGTTGTTTCGAAATAATTTATAGGTCATTTATTTTTGGACACCTACTTTTTTAAATGTATTTGACTATGACAGAAAGTAGGTACTATTTACGTAGGTACTTTATTTAAGTATGCGCTTGAGATTTGAGATATAATCTAATTGTATTTAAGACAAATAAAATTCATACAGCTAATTTCTATTGAAGATTTCACGGATCAGGATTCTAACTATAGACCCCTTAGAGAAATTAAATATTTACCACATGTAAGTACTTAAGTACTACTGTTTAGGTAAATATTTATCATATTGTAGCTTATTACACTATTTAACCAATATTTTTTATTACACTATTTAACCAACAGAGGCATGCACGAGCATGTGTACGATACTGTGTTTTATTTTTTCCTAACGCTTGTGTACGATAATGTACCATATTAATAAATGCTATATTGGAATGTTAAGAACGTTTCTTAGATATATGGCACGGCCGCTTTTTTGTAGCCATCCGAACTTGGTCGGGTTATGTAGGTTTTCGATGCTTCGTCAGTATTATAATTGTTTTTCTTTAATTACTGAATTTAATGACATGAAATTTTGCATGTGAATAGTTGAATGAATACACTAATTATTGGCATACATTTTACCATACGATTCATTTAGAACGTCGTGATATTTGACTGCTTTGTAAACAGTGATCTATTCATGGTAAATTTGTCCTATAACTATTTAATTACTAACGGAACATCATTGATACTTGGCAACATGTTGCAGACACTTACAAAGTTTGTATAAACGTGAAAATCTAGACCCTAAAGTGCATACTTTAAGAGCTAAGACCTAATAAGCGTATTTTACGTTTATATTTTTATCTTTTAAAACCTACGATTTTTTCTAAATCTGTTTTTTAAACAAATATACACAAATTCAAAACAACGTATGTAAAAATCTACAGCTCTCTATGTAAGCGCTTTATATGAAAACTAGCTAATGGCCAAATGTTCGCGTAGCGGAAACTTGAATTTCTCCGAAGTTTATGCATGCACTAGTTTTATTCATACATACACAATTACACACAAATACACACTAATTTTTGGATACATCTCTTTTCTTCTAAAGTCTATGGATTAAAAAAAGTTCCGCCAGGACAACGTTCGCCCAGCGGAATCAGTTTTTGGTGAATTTCTCCACAATGGTTGCGTGCACAAATTTTTTTTACCATACACAATTATACGACGTCATACACTAAATATCTGCATAATTAAAATCTTTAAATTCAACAACATTCCGCTGCACGAACGCACGCTATAACACTCATTCCATATCACACTATCTACTCTTGTATATCAAAATTAAAAAAAATAAGGTAAATAGTGTATGTAGTACATAATGTTAGGTAGGTATTTATCATGTTACCTACAATCTGCAATAGGCAGTTAGATCATAATATGCGTCTAATTACACATAATTCTTTTTATTTCTACACGTCTATTAGTGTATATAGTGTATGCGCTAGAACCAATTTGCGAGATTTTTCTGCTATGTCTCGACTGCCGAATTTATATAATGAAATTTGTGGAAGGGTCGATATCTTTGCTGATACGCTACCAAAATTTAAAAAGGCTGTGATGGGATTGTTGAGTGTCCAAACTTAGTGCTTAATTTGTCTCGATTGTTTTATTGTTATTTTTTACTTTAATTTTATTGTTCCGCATTATTGTAGTATTATTTTTCCCTTTTTTTAAATGTTTTTTTTTTCCCTTTTTTTAAATGTTTTTTCTAGTTTGTAATTGTAATTGTAATATACTAACTGTTGTCGTTACGTTACAGAGCATGTTGTGACACTTTAAAATGTTGTGCATTTGATTTTATTATTACTTAAGTTTTTAGATGTAAGTTTAAATGTTACAACTACTAGTTGTCCAAATAAATAAATGAATAAATAAATAAATAAATAAATATCACTGAGCACTCAGGAACATTGTAGCTATCTATCAGTGAAAGAATTTAGAAAATCCAATCAGCGGTTCCCAAGTTTACCCCTATACCTATACAAACTTTACCTCTTTACAACATTAGTATAGATAGCTACAATATTTAAGAGCTCTGACACAAAAGCTCTATCGAGAACATTAAACTATTTACATACATAAGCACTAAAGTTTATCTGCTGACCTATAATAACAGTAGACTGACAGATACGCTACTTTGATATAATGTGGCGTGAGGGATTAAGGTTGCAGTATCTTAATTCCAAATAATGACCGACAACAGCAAAAGATTACAGACTCCACGTGCTCCACATGTGCTGGGTGCATGTTCCTGTGATCCCCACGCAAGTGAATCTGATTACCACGTGGTGATAAAGTACTGCTGATATACTAAGACTATAAAAAAGTGACACCAAATAAAACAATATTTAGTTATTTCTGAAAATATTTATTGAAACAATCACAGAAACAACAATAAATTATTTTAAAAAATATACCAAATTCTAATTCGACATAATATTTACTATTACAAATCAATGCTTCAAAATCAAAAGTGGCGTTGATTACAAAGAATATAATAAATCTATCAGAAGCCAAGCCTCTGCATTTTACGAATGTGTATTGCTTTAACACAAATATAACTTAGCACGTACGAATAGGTAATCACAGTATAAAAATAAAGCATCGTTATCAGTCGACGACATCACAGCTTACATAATCGACGAAACCAAAACTTAACTTGATTCCTTTGTAACCTAAATCTGCAAACCATTTACCAACATGTATACACAGTCTTCGCAGAGAATAAATTGTAAATAATATTTTGCCCTAGTAAAGTCATACGTTACTGCAATAAGTAAAGACATTTCCAAAATAATATTCCGCTAGACACATCACAGTACAACAATCAAACTTACGTAACACACACGAGATACTACAAGATAAGCATTTCATATTGTTTTTGGTATTTTCACTACATATTCATTTAGTCTATATTGAAACTATCTGCGTATGAAACTAAACATCCTAAATCTAAAGCAGCCCAAATGAACCTATCATTTCAGCAGTCTACGAATTGAAAGTCTAGTTAAATAATGGAATAACCAAGTCTCAACTGCTTGCTTTCCATTTTCTTGTGGAATAAGCTAAGCCGAGTTAGGCACATTGATATTATTCAATCTTATGTTGAAAGTAGGAATACAAGAAGCGATATAGTTGAAAAAAATTACATAGAAAGTACGTAATCATTGGATTAATGGTGTTTGAGTAGCGGTGGGGATATGGGAGGCAACTCGATCTCGAGGAGGGGCTCTCGCCAGAACACGGTCTGTGAGAACTCGTCGCTGGGCTCGCACTGCGCCGGCGGGAACACCTGGTCCACCAACACCGACATGTGGGAGTACCTGGCGATAAAAAAATAATATCACATAAGCACACATTTTGGATACACGATACATTAACGCAGCAGTTTTTTAAGCTGAGTTCTTGAAACTTTTCATTACGATCATAGTCATCTTTTGCAGTGATTGCGTACATGTTCGGATCAATATTGTTGTATCAAATCTTTGTAAACGCACCCGAAAAACAATTCCTTTTATTGTTTTAAACCAACTCTCAACTGGTAAAATAGGTAATTGTTTTTAGAATTATTAAGTATTTATATTTTATAACGAAGAATTAATATTAGAAGTGCTGTTGATTCATAACCCATGCTAATTTCAAAATCCGTAGGAAGATTAAACTGATTCCAAATAAAATCTTTCAAAGAAGGTATTTGAAACGTGATACATACATTTAGCACATTGACACATACAAATGTTTTCCGACATACGAAATTACGATTAGGTACAGAACAGATGATCGAGAAGTGTTTTCATACTCGTGTTCATTAAATGTAAATGCTTGATGAAACATTACAAGTTAGCAGATTGCAACAGAAGACAGTGATAGAATAACAAAACCTGAAGAATTTAGTTTTATAGACCTTAATAATATTGTTTAAAGTTAATACCGAAGACAGAAACCAACACAAAAACAGACAAGACAGATGACATGTCGATGATTGTAAGTATTTTGTCAGTAAAATTTTAGTATCCAGCTAGTTATGGCGTTACAGAAAATTTTGGTTATATGGTATTAATTTTGCTTTGAAAATGAATGAATGTGCGGCCGCAAACGTGATCAAGCCTTACAAGTCATTCCATACGGCTTACCGGCTTAATATCGTGTGCTCGTTAATCTCTCAAACTAAAGTTATTTAATTTTGACACCTAAACCTCGCGCTAGCTAACAACTATTTCAGTTTTCTGTGGTGGGAAGAAATCATCGACCATGTCACTTTGCACGTGGTAACTGAAATAAAAATATAATACTCAATACAGAGAGTACAATACGTGTTAGTGACTAGGCAGCGTGAAACAGAACGTGACGTAAAGCCTCTATGTACATTTGTAGGGATACTTACGTGGATTGGAATGTTTGAGTCAGTTCATGTTTTAGTTCGCCCTTATAATTGATTGTGAAAATTCTCACAATCGGGATTCCTACTGCCTGATATGCGCACACATCCTGCAAATAAAATAAAATACATTGTCAATAAAAATTAAAGGGAATCGATGACGATATATATGTATACCGACGTAAGTTGTAAAATTATATCAGTAGACAGAAATCACGATGTGTTTATTTGATACTCACGTTTACTCTATTGCCATAGCCCGCATAAAATGGATTTGAGCCCGGCGGGAAGAGAGCTTTGATGTCTGCTAGACATTGGATCTTGAACTCTTCAGGCTTCTTCTCAATGACCTCGCGGTGGAAGGCGCGGAGTAACGACGTGGGGTTAAGGAGCAGAGGCCCGTCTGGGAGACACACCTCACCCTGTCTGATCGAGCGCAGGTACTCACGTGTTACCTACACATAGTAATAAAATTAATTAGCTGTCACGATGGAATATTACATGTACTGATAAACAACTTAATATCGGGATAACTTTTGTTCTTTGATAGACGATGGTCTGACAAAGTCAACGGAGATTATCGTACAACCGATAACACGTTCAAATAAATACTTTCGAACTCACCCTTGCCTGTCCGATAGCCCGCGCCGATAGATATAACAACTGGTAGCCGTTATTCTTGATCTTCGTGAACAGCTGTGCGACGCCGGACTGCGCCCAATCTTTTCCCACCAATGGGAAGATGTGCCCCAAGACATCAGACCTAAAGAAAGAAACAATGAATTTAATTTAATCTTTTGATCTCTTGTTTACGTCAAACAGTTATGCTTGAGAAAAACTATATGTAATGCGTCATACTTTGTGATTGTTCCGTCGATATCCGAGATGACGATCTTGTCGTCATACCGCCACCGGAACACGTTACACTTGCACCGCGTCGTTCCCTGGTACGCTGTAGTTACACTGAATACCATCTCATTCATACCTTCGCGGAGGTTCAGTTCTTTCTGCGGATCAAAATAGAACAAAAATTAGATTTTTGCGTCAATGAAAACTAAAGCAAGTATTTGATGATTAGTACGTTGATGATCTTACAATTTGTTCAGAGGAAAGTCGTAGAGTTTTTCTAAACGACGAATGTCTGCGATTAGGCCTCTTGACTTGTCCATCTTGATCAGAATCTGACGAACTATGGTCGTGTCGTTCCACTGAAAATATAAAAAAACTCATCATCAGGCATTCACAAGGCGTCTCTACCGCTGAACACGTTGTTTGATGAATTCTAGGTTTGTGCGGAGTTTGAACATATGACATGCCATTTTATGAAAATTACCTTGTTCTGGAGTTTCGACAATATGTGGCGGTGGTTGCGGTTCTTCTGCAAGGAACTCTCTGGAATCAAGTTCCTCGACGATCTCCAATTCTCTAACTTCCTCTGCCTTTTCTTCAACAGAGTTCTGTTTCTCCTCATGTGGCTCTCTTAGGGTCACCGTTTTGGTTTCCGTGACCATTTCCACTTGGGCCAAGGTATCTTTTGTTGTTAAATCATCTTTAGGAGGCGATGATTCAGTGCTAAAATAAAAATATATTAATGAGTTTCCTCATTTGAATAAAATAGTCTCAATGTAAGCTGCTTAAGACAAGTCGGAAGGTTATTAACCTTCATAGTGTTACTGACTCACCGTTTAGCATCTCCGGTGGACCGTCTCCAGCTCCACCAAGAGTAGCCGCGTGGCTTTGCTGTGCTGTCCGTGGGACGCGACTGAGATTCATCCTTTTCAGAATTCTTTTCTAAAGATTCTAGTACCCTCTGTAAATAAATATTTCGGTTAGTATATACAAACATCGACCGAATTACGATTTAATTTTCCCTAATGTGTCACCACTCGAATGGTCGCACATGTCAAAGTGGGTCATGAGTGATAACTTGAATATTTCCAGTTAGTCCTATTGTACAATTCTACGAAGTCAGTTAATTTTCTATTAATATAATAATATACAATATTTTGTAGGAGACTACAAGTTGTATGCAAGAAATTCTGTTATGCACTTACATTAGGGAGCGGCCGTCGGTAGGCGAGTAGCGACAGTAGTAGTGGGCCGGCACTGCGCCAGGGCATGGCTCGGCCGCCGAGCCGCACGACCAGTCTGCCTTCCGCAGCCAGCGCCGCGCCGCGCTCACAGAACTCCTCGAACGACAACGCGCGGGACACTCGCTCCTCCTGCACGTACACTCCCACCTGACCCCTATACCAAAACATACACATTAATATAAAGATACTTTTACAATTATTCCAACTGACAATGACAATTTTCGTAATTCTCAGTAATGGCCCATAGTTGCGCTAGGTGAAGACCATAAGTTGCTAATTAGTAGAAAGAGCTGAATATTGATTATAAGGTATATTTAATATGACCACCTCTTCACAACTCCCAAATGATATTACCTAAAGATATAAATACTAGGCGACTTACTTAGCTAGTAATTTCTCATCGTCATCGGAATCCAGTGTAGGAGGTTCTAGCGAGGCGGGAGACTGCGGCAGGGAGGGACCGTTACCAGACTCATATTCTTCTTCCGTGGGGCCAGTGGTGGGGTGTGTACTGCCCGCTGTACCTAAGCAAACAAACACGTTACAGACTATTTATTTACACCACAAACGATTATTTTCTCAGAATTTCTCTGCAGTATAATGCATTCTGCATCTTTACTACATATACATATAAATTTTGGGACATAAAAGTTCACATGCCAAGAATGCCCTTGGCAATGCTTACACCAACATACAGATTTAGCACTTACAAATGATCTCACCAGATCGATATCTGTCTGCGTGGTGCTTCGGGAAGTAGAGATCGGGGTCGACCTGGCCTCGGTCCAGATCATCGAGGTAGACGCCGTCCGTGGGCACGTCGGTGTCGCGCGGTGACATGAAGCGGAACATGCCGCTGAGCACGCCGCGTCGGCTGGGCCGCTCCTCGTCCGAGCTGAGGGGCTCGGCCGGCGAGGCAGGTTCAGGGCCTGAGGTAGGCGACGCGATCGATCCGGACGCGTTGCCCGACGATTCCAGCCCCGCGCGCACCGGCGGCTCGGGCAGCTCGCCCCAGCGCCACGACTGCGAGGACTTGTCGCCCTGCCGACCCGCCAGCTCCACCTCAGTGTCTGACTGCACTGGAGTCCCACTACGCGAACCTCTGTTACCACAAACAATCATGTTCAATCACGTGATCAGAAACTAACTAAATAACTAAGAGTCTACGACAGCGCGACACACCCTAATTAGTGCATTTAAATAACGCGCTTGAACATCTAAATACATAATTTAAGACCTTCGCACCTAATGTACATAAGTTTTTAGTATACAGCGAGTTAATAGCATCGCTCAGTTGTAATAACGTTCAAACACGAAAAGCAAAAAGAGGCCAATAATTAAAACATTATTGAATAACCATTTTTAATCTACAAGAGGAACTCATAGACAGGAGTGTGTAGGTATAGGTGTGCACTTTAGACTTTGGAATATGCAATCAAAGATGAGTTAGTGAGTCATCATCGGTCTTGAATCATATCTGAATTAAATTTCATAACGGATGTCGGGGATATCACTGGCAAAGTGATTAAAGTGCATAATTTATTGCTGTGCTTAACTGGCTTAATTACTTTTTATAATTAGTTGTAGGTACGTATCAATAAGCAAAAATTGGTTATCTACATTAAACTAAATAAGTTTATTAGAAAATATTACGTGTGATTAAATAAATGTACACAAAGTCTACAGAGAATGTGGGGGAAGCACGATACAACAAGTGCAAACATATTGCAACAAAACGAGCGTCACGACCGAGTATTGTTAGGTACGGAGCGGTGCACTACGATATGATTATAATCAAGTTACAACTAGACGACAAGCGTGGCTGCTTACTAGTGTACAGCATACGGAAGCTACAGCGATTGTTGCTCTCGATCGCAGATGACTTTAGATTTAGGTATGAGAGTGGAGGTAACTAACAATATGATTAACTGGGTCGTGTTTATTGCAAGCGTGTGAGTGAACGGATGTTATTCATTATTGATTATTACGCGTGTCTGGAGGCGGCGTGCACCTCAAACGCAGTGTCCGACAACGCCAGGGGGATGCGGTTGTCGCCGTTCAGCTTGAGGTTCGACATCTCTTCGCTGAAATGAGGCGACTAGCTCAACAACACTGGCACACAGTTCGGGACCACGCAAAAAATGACAATTAGTAATCGAGCGAACGTCAGTAATGACCGAGGCACGTGTAGCAATAGTTACCTAAGAGTAGCGGCGGTCACCTCGGTGTCGCTGAAGAAGTTGATGTCGGTGACGTTAGGAATGGGCGCGGGTTGCGTGGCGCGCTGCTCGGAGCCGGCGCGGTCCGACTGACTCGAAATAGAACTAGTGGACGACTTTCTTTGGTGTTTCTTAGAACTTGCTTTTCTTGTCTTCTTCTTTTTCTTTCCGTTTCCGCCGTTAGGTTTCACTTCGTCCTGGTTGGACGGCACAGCTTCGATAGGCCTGAAGTCGTTGTGTGCGCTGATCTTCTGCACCACCTGATGCGCCTCGCTCTCGGCCCCGCCGAGTTGCGTGGCTGCGAATGTCCTGGGGCCTCGCCCATCTACTTTGTCAGTCGCCTCGTCAAGGCCGTCCATTTCGAATAAAGCTTCATTGTCATTATTTGTATCGTCTTCTTTGGTAGTCTTTTTAGTTATCTTACTTAAGTCAGGTTTTTGCATTGATTGTCCATCAGCTGTATATCTGTAGGGCACAAGCATTTTGTTATATTGTTGGGAAGATGAAGAGAAACAATAAGTGTACAGTGTAATAGAGTAGTTATAATAAAATTATCATAATCACTAGTGTGAATAATGTAAATGTATTGGGAAATTCGCTTTCGAGCCGTCTGCACGCAATGTGATTGTGATATTTAACAAAGTCGGTATCACTTTCCATTGTTACCATAATATTTAATGTTCTTGAAACGATGTTCATTACGTTTTGCTACGCTATGAATACAGATTTTCCTATATAAATAAATACTTCATAGAAACTATTTTATGATGTAGCTATGTAGAATGCTCAGTGTTATGATAATTACCTTCGCTTTGTGTAATCGGAGGCTTGTCCGTGGTCGGGTTCAACGACAGAGAGCGAGTTTCGTCGGCGAGGCTCATAGAGGTCCTCAAACCGCGCGGCCGGGATTGGCGAGGTCGCCAGATGTGCGGAACACTCCGCCTCATCCTCTCCCACTTCCTCTACGAAGAATGCCTCGCCCGACTCACCAAGCTTCATGTGAATGTTCAGCGGCTCGCCGTTCAGCTCTAAATCCACCTGTACATCAAAATGGCGGTTCGTTAGTCTTAATTATTATAACAAAATTACGTTCTCCTATTAAAAAAAAACATGGAATTTTAATTAAATAAAAAAATATAGATTGCTCACAAGGAAGTACCGATCTTCTGTTTCGATTTAAACGTAACTCCAGCAATCAAATATACATTTAATAGAAACTACAAAATGAGTGTGGGAGACGGGACAATTGTTTGATTTCTCTTAAAATTAACAGGTGGCCGGATGAAGAAAATATTTGTGCCAAATTTTCTTGAGACTCTTGGTGAGAATTGTATCCTACTTTGGCATTGTTCCAATTTTCTCCCGAAATGAATAAGACGCAGATTCTTCAGCTCATTTTGGCAATGTACCCTAATATACTAAACAATGTACTAAAAATATTATTTAAGATATTCACTACCTAACGAATTTATTAATGACTATTGTTATTGATATCGATTGTTTTGCTATCTGTCATGTACGAGTCACGAGTCATATTTGCAGAGAAATTATAATTATATGTAAAATATATATTATATTATATATAAAATATACATTAGTTAGGCAGGTACTTATCTTACAAATACTTTTAATACATTTTCGTGAGTGAACAATTTATTGGCTTAAGTATGCTCGATAATATAACACGTACGCATGTGTTCGCTTATTACAAAAGGCAGTACGTGGATTATCATCGAACAATCTAGACGAGACAGACGCGAGCAGTGAGCGTAAACTAGGAGAGCCTAGTGAAAGAATGTGGACAGAGCTCGTCTACATAGATACGTACAAATAAAATTAGTACAGTGTGGTGAATATTTAGTCACACATTTATCGGCGCAAATCGCAATAGAATCACATCGATGCGTCCATTTCACGAAAGCAAAGATGTTCACACAATACATCCGCCTTTTTTGCAAGTCTTTATTGTAAGTCAAGTATTGTTACGAGGCGATCCTATTGTCAAACATCGACTACGAACCGAGACTCGTTGTTATAGAATTCGAAATTGATACAACTTCCAATTTCAAGCTCTCAAGACTGCATTCAATTAGCCATTCGATGGATTGACGATGATTCGATCAATTCAATCAAAGCAAGACATGTTCATAATTATCATCGCTACAGATTTCCGAGGAAGACTAAAATTTTCATATTGTCGGGTCTTTGACTACTGTGAATCATTGGAATGACTGATTACTAGATGAAAGGATTTGCTTGTAATATCCATTTTTCTAATTATTTCAAAAAAGTCTACATAGCGTTAACAATTGGAGGACGTCCAACCTAATATGATTAATGAACTGTGGAGAAAACCAAAAACTTTCCTTTCCATTGTTTTGTCTTTGACCTCACTGTATGGTCGGTATATTCGCATTCAAACGCGATTTGCATCGAGAATATTCTTAGCCATAACAAAAAAATGTCAATCGCTAAGGATTTTACCGGATGGACATCGACGTACGAGGCTATACTTTCATTTAACATATAAACAAGTTTGAGGAACAGCTTTTGAATGTCTATCACTTACCAAGGCATACACATCTACTTATAAAAAATATAATTCTCTCACTTCGTTCTATCGCGTGCTTGACGACTAAAACTCTTAAGACAACATTTCTGGCAACTTTTTGCTGCGAATTTCAACAGCTCACGAATAAAAAAAAACGACTTGTCATTCTAACGAACGAACCTACTAATGTATTAGAGAGGCATAACATGTACCAGTTGGAAACTTTTATAACATAATATTTACAAATAGACTAACTCGGATTAACGTTATAGTATCAGCTTTAAGCGGAAAACCTTATTTGAACACGTAGATACAACAAATACGATTTAGCCTTATGTAAATGCAAATGAGTTTGAAATAACCAGTGACATATTGCAAAAAAAACATTCATAGTGTGCTATAACCGAAGATGTTAATATACAGAGGTGTAACCTGTCGCTGGGTGTCGCAAGTTGGTACTATTGGAGATGTTTTAGTTAGATGACTGACTTGAAGGCCAAACAAGTCTTTACTCTGCGTGGGCATTTGAATTCAACGTGCGGCTTGCTTTTTCCACCGTGACGTAAGCCGACGATCTAAATAGTTTTCACCCAAGACGATAGCTGCATAATAGCAGTACAACATAAGATCTACTGTAATTACCGTTTTTATTTACATTTGTCCGATGTAATAAAACAGTTGAAACATTAATAACAGCAGCGTGTGCGCATTAAAACTCAGAAGACAGAACTCATTCACATCCCAGATGCTTTTGTGAGCGACAGACGCTACAGTCAGTATATTGATATTACCTACTTATTTTACATACGATACGAAGCACTTTTGATGTCCACACTTGAGTCAACAATATTTTCGACAAAAATTACAGTAATTATGTTAATGACGCAGACAATGCTAAGTGTTAATAAATTCAAAAGAACATGTTGGTAATAACATTGCTTGTAATTTACCAGTATTTATTACTGAGACTAAATAATGGCTTACCACTTTGAATCTGGAGCGGAGCACGCCGAGCTTCCCGAAGCGGACGTGGAAAGGCGAGCATGTGAAGCTGCCATCAGGCTGCTCAACCACCACCACGTCGATGGCACCGGTCAACGTCGCCCCGTTGATTTCATTGTAGAACTCGCGAAAGTTCGCAATGAACTTGCCAATATAGTTCATAGAATACATGGCTGCTGATTTATCAGTCTCTCTTTCACTATATACTTCACTTCACTCAATAATCACAATATTATTCAATTACTTATTGTCTTTAAAAGTAATAAATTACCCCATTTTGGGGCTGAGATCAAAAAACATTAGGTTTCCTGAAACAAAGAAACAGCATTCGTTAGTGAGCAAGTCCTATGTGATCATGAAGTATGAAATGACGACATGAAGGAACTGGACTAGAACATTGTTCGATAATTTGCGACTGTTCCTGTCTCTAAATTGCATGGACAGGAAAAGGCAACCACATACTGTAACAATGTTGATTGTGATCGTATGTATGTCATGTAATTATGTGTTATTATTTATTAATCATATTCTAATTATACGTAATTGAATCATATTCCTCGAAAATCATTTTATTATTTTAATTTACCAGTAAGTACCTAAATAGATTATGAAAATCTTATCCGGTACAATAAATACGTAAACATAGATAAATCCAATTTTCATGCGTAATCGAGTATTTCGAATCACCTTCTGTTGAAGATAAGTGTCAGTTTGATTGTGAAACGACCATGCCATCAGTAATAGTTGTTTTATAGTCTCACTATCCAAACACTACGTCCATTCTAGATTTAGATCAACACTCATGGACATTGTCGTCCCAATTCTGTATTGGTACTTATAAATTTTAATGTAACTGGAATGGTTCAACGAAGTTGCTAGCTACATACATGGACATAAATAGCGCAAGTGTTCATTACTAGAGCAGATAGTCTCGAGTCGGGTCGGTGGGTTCATGCACTACATAGACTAACTACCAGCCAGCAGTGCATACGCAGGATGTTGCACAACGTTTTATGGTCCACACCGAGGCACTACTAAACTCTGTGCAGTCGTTAAATCACTGCTATAAATCTATTAAGGTCCCATCAAATAAATATTAAGTGATTAAGGCATCTATGTACTCTGAATGTCTTTCTTAGAATACCGCAGATCTAAGAAAATGTTTTAAGTTTAAAAATATATTTAACGTTTTCATTAACAGTAATTTCGTCTGGCTGTGAAATTTGTATTATCCGATGGCAACGAGATGCCACGCGGTGACAGCGTGCTAGACGAGAGCGTTCTATGATCAAGCGTGCGGAGCGACCACGCGTCGGGGACTCTGCCCCCGGTTTCTTAGTTTACTATGAATAATATTTAAGAATAGCGAAACAAATCGTCATAGCGTTACGATGTTAGGCTAAACGAAAAGTTGGCAAGAATGTAAAACCTAATCCCATAACGACAACGAGCAAATATAGCCAAAACTATTCATTAGTGATTAGTCATCTCGTTAATTAATGAGAGTGTACGTGTACCTATATGGAGAAAGATCGCCAAATATTTACATAGATAAACATAAAACAATTATAAACATGTTGATGTAAAGTTAATCAGATATGCATATTGAGGTGGCGTGGACTTTGGCCGTCTTCACATATCGAGTGTGAATGTGACTAGCAGATGATACCCGGTTGGTATAAATAGTGATATTGGAGTGACGTGGGAGACGGTGTCTGTGAATGACATATTACTAGACGACGATATTAGTAGGGAATCGCCCTCAACAAAGGTTAGAGGAAACAAGAGACGTGATGAGCTTCCTAAAACGGTTTTTACTTCCTCATTCGAGGAAATAGACCATTCTGCGACTGTGATACATCCGTCTTCCTTTTCACAGTTCAAATTGATCAAGATGTCTACAACAATACAGTGAGTACACCAACCAAAGCATGAGACAAGTGGCAGATGTCCAAGGAGACCAGAATGGCAGCTGAACTTATTTTTGTTCCAAGGGCTTCAAGTTCAATGCTGAGATAAACGCACACTTCCATTGTCGTTAGGGTCACGCACCTCGGCGCGGAAAAAGGAAACCGTCAACTAACTCTTAACCGATCCGACCTGTTGGCTGTTCGGTTAGATGTTTCATTGGTAAATGGCACATAATGACTATAAACTGTTTGACACACTTATTAGTTAATCACACTTCAAAAGTTCATTGTTCGTAATTTGCAAGAATGGCGGATGGCACCGAGTAATGGTAATAGGTTTGTTCTGTAAATAATTTATTAAATACAAGTTATGGAAATGTTTTAGGTAGTTAAAAAAAAGTATTTACAGAACCCATACACACAGTATTCGTGTGAATAAACGGCTGTAACGATAAAAAGCCGTATGACCGCCACTTCAAGGTTGGACTTGGTAATTCTTTATAGCACACCTCATCAATATTCTATTACTTTTAGCAAAATGAGTCAAATTTTTAATTCATGTCAATATTCCTGTATAGTCCTAATAGTGGTTCTATTGATTTGTGTATTGTTATTTACGTTATCTTATTTTATTGGGTTACATCCAACCACTGCCTGTCACCACTTCCTGAAGTTACGGGTCATATTCTGATATATTATCATTTGCACTTACTAGACGGGTACTTACTAATATAATATATGCGCACAATTTCTGTTTATCAATATGCAAAACGAGGACTGAGCTTCTTTTGTCTGGTATAAATACCTCGTCTTCATGTCACTACGATAGCATAGCGAATACAGTGGTCATAGTAATTTATCATGTTGCAGTCTCTTAGAGCTCGGTCCGGATCGACTAAATGTATCCGACTAGACCCCGTACGTCATTAGCGGGCAGGGGTTATTTAAACTGACCTATAGATCAGTAATTTACAACTTAATAACCTACATTTTCTACACGTGAATCTGAGGAAAACGGTTAAAATAACACGACTAAGGAACAAACTAGTGTTTATGAAATCTTATCTATTAGCCAGCATACCGCAACCCTTCACGTGCAGACACCACACTGGTGCTTATACAACGAGACGTACACATGTTTGCAAAGGGTAGATATATGTATCATAGACGAAGATACAAGTATCAAGCTTAGTACCAGCGCACCCTCGTTTCAATCGATTCCATTTTACGCTGAAAGCTATTTGCGCAATCGATATAATGATCGCGAATGTTATCGTATCGAAATTCCATGTTTGAGCCCGATGAATACAAGATAATGATATGACAAACATTCGCTGATATATAGGTAAATGTGTTTTTACTATGAATATCTCTGGTATGACATAATAAGCCCTCCAAGGCCGTCGTGTCAAGATAGTGATGGTGTCAAAATAGAACATTTTGGTAAACAACTGTAAAGAAAAATGTAACTATGTAGAAGCAATTAATCAGATTCGTACATGTAAAACTATTTATCTGGCTCTGTTGCCTTTTTATTAATCATCGAATAAGATATCATAAATTCCCCAGAATTAATTTATCTCTTTCCATCATATCATTACAATTAATGGAAAATCCATTCCACAAATCAACTAGACATGTGAGTTTTAGTATTTACACATTGAGACGATTTATTATTGCAACATTAAAATTTTACATCCTTAAGTAATGAATGTATGTAATTAAAATAATATATATGTAGTTTAATAATTATCTGAAGTACTGAGCAAAGGAAAACAATAAGATCTAGACTCACGCGCGTTTAAAAAAACATTGGAAAAATTCCTAATCGAAAAAATAGAAAGGAAGGGTATAAACACGCCACAATAAAGACTTTATCACAATAGCGATAATTTAATTATCGGAAGACGCACGTAATGATATAGGTACGTCTTATTCATGTGGTCTGATCGAATCAGCGAATTATTTTATTATGTAACACTTTTACGTTAACGAATGTGTAAATAAAATAAATATATCCAACTACGCAAAAGAAAAGTGCGGCACCGCAATAATGATGGGTCTCATTAAATGTCTCGCAGTACTACCACGCGCTACATTTTTTATGCTGGTTGATCCCACCGAAAAAACTTATGGAAGGAGGTCAGTCATGCGAGGTTTATCGGGGTGTAAGGAAACGAGTTTCAAAGCCAAGATCATCAAGGCGAAGGATTTCGCGGACTGTTTACTGGAAAACTCTAGCTCTACACTGGAGCGTCGACAAATAAATCATTTGTACATTTCCTATATAATATTCCATTCTCAGAAGTATGGGGATTGTATGATTCACAAGTAAATATGCAAGCCGTTAAGAGCAAAAAAAATGTTGATTCAAACTACTGTCATTATCTGATCCGTGACTGCATTTCAACAAATAACAATAATAGCTTTGTTGGTTACTAAAACTGCTGATAATAATTTAACTTTTACCTTACTGTATTTTTACAAAAAGTACTGAAGAAAAAAGTGGTCGTGCATATTTAACCTACTCTCTAAAGGTTACGTCCGAAATAGAGGTAGGTGATTCATAATTTAATTTAAAAATTGTGAGGAATGGTTACCCTCTACATATTTGCAAGCAAAGTGAAAACAAAGATTATAAAAGTATGAAGGCCTGCGCGTGTAAATGAAATAAATGTTTCAAAACGAACCGTAGAGTACAAACATAGTGCAACACCACACCAATCACCAATAAGGTAAATGCCAGTGATTTACACAAGAATACCAATGTATGCAGCTAGTTAATTACTCAACTCGTCAAAAGCAGAACAATAAAATTATAGCAAAAATAAATATGCAAATGCTTAACACATATAACTACAAAATATTAAATCTAAGTAGGAAAATATTGTATGTTAACAAAAATACAATAACAACAATTACTCAAGTACAATCCTGCGTAGAAACACTGATTGTGAATTGCATAGTTCATCATAAATCCATTAATTTTCAACAATAAAATGTTATGAAAGCAAAATCAAATTATTTGTAGCAAACAAAAATATACCTTAGTAAGGAGCAACTGAGGAAGCAATACTTTGCTGTCAACTTTCCAAGGCACAAAATGTTTCTTTTCTTAGTATATAAACAATTACGGTCAACTGAATTTTTCGTACACAATTCCGAACACAGGTAAGATTTCGACACGTGTTGCTCGCGTCGACTCTACCAGTAAACTGCCTGTGAGTGGCTGGTGTGGGTGGGCCGATACGAGAGCGCCCAAGTGGGCTGACGTCGTGTGACGTAGCTCAACTCGTTGATATGATACCGCAGAATATCAGTCACATACACAACTCACACTACTGACCATGTGCTTCATCATTCGCTTTGCTTGCTTTATACAGAACGAGAACGCTCATCGCACTACAAGCGTCCGGCCTGGGTCGGTCTATCGCGCGACATGGCGTGATGTCGCGCCATCGTCTGTTACGAAAGTAACTTTACCTCCAAGTTTACCAACACGCACTGCAAAAGGAAATTAATTGTCGACATGTACGACATGCCCAATATGGTAAAGCTATGAGGTAGCTAGTTTCATGCTCATGAGCGCGTTATATCATACCTTGAGTATGTTAATATCTATGCCATTAAACCAGTGGCTTATGAAATAATTGTATATCATCAATTTATACTTGATAGAGGTAAATGTTGTTCATACATAACACACTTAGTTTGGATTCGGTCACAATTTTCATGGCCTTGCTATCAAAAATAGATTTGTAAATAATGACAATAAGACGAATTTCAGTATTTTATACGTAAATGAATGCAAAATATATTCATAGGAAACAGAAACTTGAAAGGTAACTTTGTTTACAGCTGTGTAGGAATGCAAACAACATCACGTCGTAGTATCAACCGCAGCTGGTTAATTCACGTCTATATTTTATACAATCTGCTCTCTACCTAGGTGTTAGTCATCCATGTGACTGAAATATCGTAAACAAAAACAATGCTTGTTTATCAGCTATGAAACGCATTACGTTAGCCAAGACGAACCCACGCTGTTTTTTGTATTGTTCTATTTTATTTTTATCTATTTATTATTCGAGTATTCAATGATAATTTATAGAAAAGTCCTCTGTTAGGCGTGGCATTGACAAAATCTTCCTTGAGATATAACCAGTTCTAGATATTATTTTGGCAAAACTGGTACTGTGGGTTATAAAACCAGGAAGTGAATTTTTATTGAACATAATTTAGTTTCAGCGAAGATCATACATTTTATTTCAGTGTTAACTGTAACATCTTTCTCTTTTTTCATAAGACTTTTATGAATAAGTATAACAATTTTAGCAAATCTCTGTCAACCGTATAGCACTTATCTTTTCTAGTTTCAATTTCTGGAATTATAAATTACATCTTGCTGTCAAAAATCCGGAACTTCGTGGAACACAGTCGTAAATCTAAACAATTTATCGCAGAATATTATTAATATTTAATAAGATTATTTTTGCTGATCGTTAAGAAATTGTTTCAAAGGCTAAGAAACGGCTTTTATTCGTTTCCATACTTTTTACTGCGCCAATTTGGTTGACGTCAAGTATTCAATTGTGCCCATTGCTTCGGGAGTGGTTGTTGAGCTTTCAAGCAAAATTAAAATTAGCAAAATGTTGCACTTTTACGTGGGCAGTAAGATTCTTCTTAACACTTGACTTGGATTTGTCTGCCAGCTATTAAGATCGATAGTCCTATAACCAGGATCCCTTTGGCAAGGATTGATTGTTTTAGCTACAAGGCCTTGAATCCCCCAAGAAAACATGTCAAATAAGTAAGTATATTTATTTGTGGATAAAAAAATCTGAATCCCGTCCGATCACTAAAATGGCAAAACTTAAGTAGGCATATTATGATTTAGGTATAAAATAATATTTGTGTTCATATATGTGTCGATATTCGATATGTAGAAAGATAAAAACTAAAAAAAAAAACTTATATAATATAAGTAACTTAAAATGACGTACGAGCTTATCTATAAAATTGGTTTAGTTATAATCTTGACTGTATCAACCAGGAAGTTTTAGTTCTAAAGGTATTTTACAAGTCTGCTGTTATAGCCCAGTATTCGAATGGAGGTGTGTCTGGCGTATATTAATAGAACCAGGTACTTAGCTTCGATATTAAACATGCGCATATAAAATCGTTCATTAACATTTAAGACATAAGGCAAGATGAAATTATATTAGCAGCATTTATACGCGACGTAACAAAATACAGCCACCTTATTAGTCTAGGAATGGGTGTGTCATGACGTGTATTTACGACTAGCCGAGAGGACCGATGGCGCCATACGATGCCTGTTGCGTATTATTTAAACCACAAGGTCAGGCTTAACAAGTTGCTAGAAAAAATACTAACCCGTACGAGGTACTTTCAACCGTATATCCACTACTTTAGATAATATATTCGCATTTGCAAATTCGCGAAAACGGCGTGCACGCACAAATATTATCGCGCCAGTGGCCTTCAGCTTCTTGTAATGCGCATGCCAGTGGTGATACTGTGAGGCGTAATATGCGGAAAACATGTTTGTTTTTCTAAATCCGCTTATCAAATGTGAGATTTACAAGCCCCCCAGTACATTAATCTGATTTTTTGGAAGGATGAAATTCATAAAATTACAATGTCATATGTATTAATTTGGTGCGGATTACGCAAACTTTAATTTAACATTCTTATTCATTTTACCTTTTGGCATTGACACATGTACGGTTTGATACCTTTGAATCTTCAGTTACAACAAAAAAGTTTTACAAGAAATAATTCAAATTTGAATACCTATTTGACAATTGAATATTAATTACATAGTCTTAACACAATAGGTACAAACATAAAGTAAACCATCTCCTATGTTTGGCTAATAGAAAATCTTGGGGTACCGTTCATAAGCAAATTCTGAAAGTTATTTTCCAGGTGTTCATTTTCCCGGGCACGCTACTATAGCAGCGGTAAGACACCTCTTTGAGGAGTGGCTTGAGAGACGCCACGGCGTCCTCACCTTTCGCCTGACGCAGGTGCTTACCGGGCACGGCAGCTTTGATAGGTTCCTGTTTCGGATCCAGCGGGAGGAAACGCCCGAGTGTCGTCATTGTGAGGATCACCTGGAGGACACGGTGGAGCATACGGTGGCGGAGTGCCCTGCTTGGGCTGAGCACCGCCGTGTTCTCAGGGAAGTGATCGGCGGCGGCGGCGACCTCTCGCGCCCGGCCTTAATCGAGGCCATGGTGCAGCGTGAGAGGAACTGGGAAGCTATCTCCTCCTTCTACGAAGCAGTTATGCTCGCAAAGGAGGAGGCGGAGCGCATGAGGGAACTATCCTCCTCGCGCCCCAGCCGCCGCAGAAGGCGACATTCCGGACGTCGGGGATCGAGAGATGATCTCCGGCCACCGTAAGCGCGGGTCTGCGGACGGCGAGTAAGGGTAGCTCGCCGCCCGACCAGAACCGGACCCGAGCGTACGGCGCGTAGCGTTCCGCGCGCGCCTCAAAGAGCCAATAGACCACCACAGTCGGGGCCCAACAGGGCCAACAGGACCCCCAACGGGGTAAGCGCAATGAGGCACCGCGACCTCGGCCCAGAGCAGGAGAAGGAACGGGGGGGTTTTTAGTCAGTAAGAGTCTGACACTCTCTCTCGCCTTACCCTGGGCGGGAGAAGTCATTGGATGATTTTCCACTGACAAAAAAAAGGTGTTAATAATTTTCCGAGATTTCCGATTTAATTTTCTTCATTTTTTCTCTTAAGTACTTTGTCTTGACATAAACTATTTGCAAAAACGAAACCTAACTAAAATGCGAACTGCACCTTTTTCGTCGCCTACACAAGTCATAATATGTATGTAAGTCCTGGTGTTGCTTGAAAAAAGTCGAGCTTTTTATTCCGTATACGCGGTATACGAATACTATAAACAGAGGGAAAATGAAGTGACACATTCTTATTATTTCTTATAGGTGTTATATAAATATAAATTATATAAAATAATTCACAATACGATAAGCAAATTGTTTCACTATCTTAAATACTTATGTTTAGTCATCTATTGATGCGATATCCGATCTTGGTTTTATCAGCTCATCACATCGCAATAAGGAAAAAAATGATATATTTTTATTATAAACTGTGTAGTAGTAGACGGGTGCTTCGAGGTGCAGCTTCAAAGTCAATTTATTTTGCAACAAATCAGTTAACGGGCTACTTATCCACCGCCGTGGTATCACTCCGGTCGAGTCGGTCCATTTGTGCCTAAATGCTGAGGCTCATTTGTGCCTAGAAACCATCTGTAAGGGGAATAAGAAGCAGATACTATTTTATTTGTTATTTCTTAATTTCGAATGTTAAGCCTTCTTTTAGAATATTAGGATTGTTCTCCAATCGTTTTTTGTCAAATCGATGAAAAGATCAAGAGGAAATCGATGTGTTCTTCTGGACATTATTAGGACCAACTGATTTTGCATGTCGTTTTTTATTTTTACTTAAGAGCAATTGTCGGTGTCAGCTATATCGCAAAAGAACACAAATATGATAAGACTGAATATCACTAGAGCCTAACTAATATCTCGTTAATATTATCGTACTAATTTGTAGGCTGTGAATTGGATCCGCGCAGGCTGAATGAAATAGGTTTATCTTGTTGTTTATGGATTCGACGTACGACAAAAGGTTCCAACATAGAAAAATTAGCATAACGTCTATCGAAAATGAAGATGTGCAAACAGAGTTATGATAGAACCCAAATATGTATACATATATTGGGAAATACTTCCTGTATGTAGAGCAACATGTAACTGATTGACTGCACGGTTGGTGCGGTGGCTGGGCAACTGGCTGCCATGCATCATGTAGCGGGTTCGATTCCCGCACGGAACAACTCTTTGTGTGATCTACAAATTGTTGTTCCGGGTCTGGGTGTCATTTGTATGTGAAATTGTATGTTTGCAAGCGCACCCACGACACAGGAGAAAATCCTAATGTGGGGCAACGTTTTTTAAAAAATAATAATAAAAAAAAATACAATGCACAGTTAACACGATGTCGGGCAACCGGCTGCCGTGCAACTTGTCGCTGGTACGATTCTCGAATGGAACAACTCTTTACGTGATCTAAAAATTGTTGTTCCTAGTCTGGGTGAGACGTGTGTGTGAAATTGTATGTACGTTAGAATAGACAACCACGTTTTTATAAAAAAAAAACATCAATTGTGTCATTATTTTTATATCTACTAAAATTTTGT